ACTAGCTGGATGAAGAAAGCAGAGCCAGTAGGCCCAAGTCTCCTAGGAAACAACCTCTGGATTTGCTGTTATCTTCAAATAGGCTTGTAAAATTGGTCTCTCCTGCTGGTGCATAAAGAGAGAGAGAGGTTGATGGGAGATAGAAGAAGCCTGTGGCTGCAAATGTTGGATTATCAAATAATGAAGATAAATCTTCCATCGGAAAGCGTCGGAACAAAAATAGTTTCTTCTCTTTATTTTCTTTCCCTCCCAATTACTGAATGTTATCACATATAGAATAGAAAGATGCATATCTATTCGTATGAATAGTCACGTTTGCCAATATTGTAAAATATTTAGGAAACAATCGGCAGCACAGCTACTGCTGAGCAAGCCTATAAGGTTCCCGTGGGCCATTTCCACAGATAGGGACACGGCCACTGCTACCACACACCAACTTGCAGGCAGCTGATGTGGTCCGCCGGTAGCCTGCGGAGCTGGCAGCAGAGTCGGACAGTGAGGAGGAGGTTGGGGAGGAACATGGGCCAGTCCTGGAATCTGGGGAAGGCTCGGATGAGGGCTCTGCGTCGGAGACAGAGAAAGGGCCATCTGGGAGTTTTGTGCTGCCTCCGGAGCCTGCAGAGTCTGACATCAGCGAGGCGGAGGAACAGGAGGAGGCTGTTCCCAGTGCACGCATGCGCAGAGCTGCCAGAAGGCGAGAACAGTTAAGACAAAAGGGGCGACTCGGGAGTAAGGCTTGGAGATGATTGGCCTCTCCCATAAGACATAAAGGTGGAGCAAAAGGACATGAGCCTTTGCAGGAAGCAACTTTGTTCGTTCTGGTCGGTTTAAATTCTGAAGCTCCGTTTTGACTCTGTGCTCCGTCTGGCCTTGCAAAGCTAATTGCTAATTAGGTCTTTGGCAGCTTGTCAAGGGAGATAAAGGTGGGTGCTTATTAGCCTTATCCTGAAGGACTGTAGCAGACTTCCCTCAGACTCTTTACAAACTATTTGTGACTCATTACGGGCTGTGAATGAACAGAATTCACAGCCGTTGAAATAAAAAGAGGGTTTTTGGGACTAATCGTGTGCTTTGTACTGTCTCAGGAAGCCTAGTCAGAACAGTAGCTCTGTGTGAAATGCAGCACATAACTAACTTGGATGTTCAAATAATGTATCTGGGCCAAGTGACATAATACGAAGAGGCCTTGTCGTTATATTTCCACCCTTTGATGGACACTCCAGAAACATTCATTAGAAGGATGCACCCAGGTAAGCATTTTGGGGTCCTTGGTACTCTCTGAACTTGGTTTTCTTGCAGACAGACGTTTCATTGCTAGCACTGATGATGTTACCTAGTTTGGTAATGAAACATTGGCAGGAAAATCAGCAAGTTCCCAGAGATCACCATGGACCCCCACAATTCAACCCTGAGATACAAATTTATTCATTGATTTATTATTGAATTTATTGACCACTTGTCTTACTACTCTGGGTGGCTTAATATTCTCTTCTATCTGGTTGACCATTGTCGATCAAATAGTTTTGGCAGAATTTTCAACAGTGAATTAAGCTGTAAGTAAAAGACATTCACGCATTCAATTTCGCAGCTACTAAGATTGTTGGACGAGCAGGTACAAAAATAGCCAGGGAAATGATTGAAGCCTGGGAAACTCGCCCCTTGTCAATTAACAGAAGTGCTGAATTACCACCAGCCTATCAAATACTTAGGAGCTGAGGGCTTGGCAGCACAAGGAAGCGACAGCCAATCGCCAGCCATCAGCACACCAATCAGCCAATAGGAAGGCACCACATAAACACGACTCACAAAACAGCCCAAAACATGTATTTCAGTAAAGAGAAATTCCCTGAGGATGGGCTCCAGCACGAGTCTGAAAGCTCGGAAGAGTAAATCTCTGGTCCTGGTGACTGACCCAAATTCGATCTCGCATCATTATCCTGGGACACATATATTTGCCTTCATTAGTGAATAAACTTTTCTCTGGTTTGAACTGCAGAAAAAACGATTACTATGAACCTGCCTTCCATTGAGGACCTGTATACTGCACAAGTCAAAAAGGGGGCTGTGAAAATATTTACAGACCCCTCATATCCTGGACATAAACTGTTTCAACTCCTACCCTCAAAACGACACTGTAGAGCACTGCACACCAGAACAACTAGACACAAGAACAGTTTTTTCCCGAATGCCATCACTCTGCTAAACAAATCATTCCCTCAACACTGTCAAACTATTTACTAAGTCTGCACTACTATTAATCTTCTCATCGTTCCCACCACCCATCTCCTCCCACTTATGACTGCATGACTGTAACTTTGTTGCTTGGATCCTTACGATTTATAGTGATATTGTTTCCTGATTGCTTATTTGTACCCTATGACTATCATTAAGTGTTGTACCTTATGATTCTTGATGAACATATCTTTTCTTTTATGTACACTGAGAGCGTATGCACCAAGACCAATTCCTTGTGTGTCCAATCACACTTGGCCAATCAAGAATTCTATTCTATTCTATTCTATTCTATTCTATTCTATTCTATTCTATTCTATTCTATTCTATTCTATTCTATATCCTTACGATTTATATTGTTTCCTGATTGCTTATTTGTACCCTATGAGTATCTTTAAGTGTTGTACCTTGTGATTCTTGACGAACGTATCTTTTCTTTTATGTACACTGAGATATGCACTAAAGACAAATTCCTTGTGTGTCCAATCACACTTGGCCAATAAAGAATTCTATTCTACTCTACTCTACTCTACTCTACTCTATTCTACTATTCTATTCTATTCTATTCTATTCTATTCTATTCTATTCTATTCTACTCTACTCTACTCTACTCTACTCTACTCTACTCTACTCTACTCTATTTCTATTTCTATTTCTATTTCTATTCTATTATTTCTATTTCTATTCTATGTCTATTGTCTGCCTGGACTGGTGTCTCCTTTGCTAACCTATTCACATTTTTCTTCTTTCTTTTGCTATTTTACTTCCTGTTGCCACGTTTACAGGTAGACTTCTCACTGTTCTGTGATTTGAAATAGTCCTAGAGACATTAATGAAAAAAAACCGCTATTAGATACTAATACTTCACAAATTATTTCTCTCCCCCCCACCCCCACTGATGGCAGCTACTTCAACGCCCTTGTGGTGGCATTTGGTGGGTGATTAGGAAAGGCCCACAATTGTCTTCCCTTGTATTTTAGAAAGCACGAATGTCCTTTTTCGAGATCGCCAGCACAGCTGACGAAAGCGTGGTGAATGTGCCTTGCAAATGTCATCATCTTGCAAGGAAATTGAATTTCAGAAAAAGGATTATTTAGTTAGGTGGCTTCCTGCTGGAGAACGATTCTGTATACGAGCAACTTTCCTTCTCCAAATCGTATCACGGAACAATGACAACCTCTCTTGTGCCGTATCACCTTTTTTTTTTTTTTTGATAACAAAAAAAGGTGCGCAGATCCGGGATCCTCCGTATCTCCGGGGGGAGCTCATTCCAGATAGTAGGTGCCCCCACAGAGAAGGCTCTCCCCATGGGGGCCGCCAGTCGACATTGTTTGGCCGACGGCACCCGGAGGAACCCCTCTCTATGGGAGCGTACTGGTTGGTGGGAGGCTATTGGTGGTAGCAATTGTCGGAAAGTCGCGAAAGATGATCACATGACCCCCGGGACACTTTCAGAAAGCCACGCTAGTTGCTGAGCGTCTGAATTTTGATCACATGACCTTGGGGGGGGGTATTGCAACAGCTGTAAGTGTGAAAAAACGGTCCTCGGTCACTTTTTCCAGTGCCGTCGTAACTTTGGTCACTAAATGAAAGGTTGTAAGTTGAGAACGGCCTGTAAATGTCTATACTGCTTCTTTCCCATCCTTTCACTAGCCATCCATCTCTCATTCTCTCTCTCTCTCTTGAGTCTTCAGAAAAGCAGTTTTTGGTTATTTGTTCTAAATTCTGCGTCTGCCGAGAAGCTGCAAAGACCTGTGAATGCTACGAGAGGGGATTGCAATAGGTTGGTTTTCTGCTGGAGAAAGTCTTAAAAAGAGCCACAGTACAATCAAGAATATACTCTGTATCAGGGGTGAAATGTAAAATTTGTTACTACTGGTTCTGTGGGCGTGGCTTGGGGGGGTAATGTGACTGTGTGGGCGTGCCCAACTTTTTTTTTTTTAACTTTTCAAAGCATTTTTTCTAATGCCTTGAAAAGCCTCTGCCGATCAGGCAACTCAGCTGGGATCGTCAGAGACTTTTCAAAGCATTTTTTTTTTACCACCTCTTCGGCCAAGAGGTTGCAGAAAAAAAATGCTTTGAAAAGCCTCTGACGATCCCAGCTGAGCCGTGCGATCATCAGAGGCTTTTTTTTTTTTTTTACTTTTAAAAGCATTTTTTCGTTGGAAAAGTTTGTAGAAAAAATGCTTTTAAAAGTAAAAAAAAAGCCTCTGATGATTGTACGGCTCAGCTGGGCATGGGCGGGGGGCACAGGGATTTTTGCTACCGGTTCTCCGAACCACCCGCCGCCATCGCTACCGGATTGGGCGATCCGGTCCGAACCGGGAGCATTTCACCCCTGCTCTGTATGTGGATTGAATGCTTCGTTTGGCAGACTAGCATAGCTAACATGTTCAATAAGAAACAACTACAAGTATTCCTCAGCTAATGGCCGCAATTGAGCCCAACATTTCTGTTGTTAAGTGAGACATTTATTAAGTGAGCTTTGCACCCATTTTACGACCTTTCATGCCATCGTGGTTAGGTGAGTCACTGCAGTTGTTAAATTAATAACACTTTGTTGTTAAGCGAATCTGGCTTCCCTGTTGACTTTGCTTGTGAGGTCACAAAAGGAGATCACTTGATACACACATACACAACCAATTGCCAAGCCTCTGAATTTTGACAAGGTGACCATGGGGGTGCTGCAACTGTCGTATGTGTGGAAAGCGGTCGTTAGTCACGTTTTTCAGTGCTGCTGTAACTTTGGACAGTCACTAAACGAACTGTTTATTTTTTATTTATTTTATTTATTTTGCTTTAATTTATATGCCGCCCTTCTCCGGAGACTCAGGGCGGCTTACAATGCGTTAAGCAATAGCCTTCATACTTTTGTATATTTATACAAAGTCAGCTTATTGCCCCCACAATCCGGCTCCTCATTTTACCCACCTTAGAAAGGATGGAAGGCTGAGTCAACCTTGAGCCTTGGAGAGATTTGAACTTGCAGTAATTGCAAGCAGCAGTTCTTAATAACAGTGCTTAGTCCACTGTACTACAGGCTCTTCTGTTGTTAAGTCGAAGACTTTTACTTTAAAATCGATGTTTATTTTAGTGAGATGTTGGTACTTTAGAACACAATTTGAAAAACACAATTCTTGAAGGCGTGTTTTCCTTTCATAGGTATCTCTCTCTTTCGTTATCCAATGGAGTGATATCGACAATCCTAAGACTCTTCTTTAAAATTAGAAAGGAAGCTTTTCTTTCAACCACGGCTAGTCCAGGTTGACCCACAAGGAACATGGCAAACGAAAGGCGGGGATGATTTAAAAAGGGCCTATCAGCCCACTTGTTCCAACAGTACAAATAAAACAAGCTGTCAATCCTGAGTTTGCCGGCAACATGCCGTAACTACAAAGAAAACGACAGCAAATTTCAAAATCTCTTAAACCAGAAGATGCTGGATATAAAAACAAGAACTGGTGAATTAATAACCCCTGTCTAAAAGGAGGGCTGAAATATAACTAATCAGGAGCATTCTTAAAGCTCCCAATTTCCAGAATATTCTTCATTTCTAATATAGCTTCTGATAAGAGTTTACGATAAGATGGAAATCTATGGATCCAATGCCTCAATCTTTGATCCAAATGGGAAACCTGCTTCTTGACCTATGAATAAATAACAGGATGACGTGTGCCTTCTTCTCTTTCTTCTTGTACGCTTATTCATAGATTAACCAGGAAACTACGGTTTAAAGATGGTTTAAAAACAAATTGGCAAATGGGGCTCTGGGCGGGACTCTTCATCCATAATTTTCTGATGCAGACATCATTTTAAAATGAGGATTCCTTTCCTTCTGTTCCAAGCTCAGCTGAAGAGGACAAAATGAGCTTGCCAACAAATTCTGGCCGGCAGGACTCATTATGACAGAATTGGGCCACTGTGCATTGGCTTCAGGAAGGGAAGGACAAAATGCAAATGTATTAAGTGCTGTTTTCACAGAGACATTTACATTAAACTGCCTTAACAAAAATGGAAGGCACAGGAAGAGATATTTAGTCAAGGGACGGAGAAAGGAGTTACCGAGAAGATGAAGTTAGTAAACCACTAGAGTAGCAATATTATATATATATATGTTGTTTGAATTGCGGTTATTATAGTTGCTTAATTCCCCAACGTTTTGCGACACCTGTATTTAAGTATCCCTCAATCTGTGTCATGAAATAGAGCTGGAAAATATATATGTCGGAAGGAACACATTAATTTAAGCTCCTTGACTGCCTTGCCAATAAATATGTACGTTCAGATGCAATTTCCCCCCCCCCTTTTTTTTTTATTTGTTAGACCGAGCTAGGCTGACCTTGCCGCTATGAAACCATCCGTTTCGGGAGACAAATTCTCATTAGTCGACAAAGAATTGCTATTTGGAGGCTGAAAGGCTGCACTATTTGCTGGAACGTTCTGCCCTCCAGTGGCGTCTACCTTGCTAGTCGAAGTCACCATTTCAGCACTGTGGGAGAAGGACAGCTCCTTTTTACAGGGGCACCTCTGGATGATGTCACACTGCACAGCTGCATTGGATTTTTCTACTGGCTCAGCCCATACCTCTGTTTGACATGAAGCCTCGTGCTTCCCCTTATCGTTCAGGCCTGACAACAGCAGTCCAGCTCTGTGCAACGTATTCTTTCTCGGAGTTACGGCGGATTTTGCCTGGGATCGAATATTAGCTGTATTCCGGTGCCTCCCATCGAATTGGCAAACATATTCTGATCTTTGATGTCCTGATCTTGAGCAGGGATGGCTGGAAGTCCTTGAATAGGAGACTTCAGAATCCGATGACGCTCCTTCATTGCCCTCCTCTGGTTTAGACTGTTGAAATAAATCGGAATCAGTCAGTGGTGAATTTTTTTCCCTACCGGTTCCGTGGGTGTGGCTTGGTGGGGGAGGTCCTGTGACTGCATGGGAGTAGCCAACACGATGTCACTCACGCCCACGCCCACTCAGTCACATGACCCACCACCACCAAGCCACGCCCACAGAACCCGGTAGGAAAAAAATGTGCGCATGAGCACGAGAAGGGCTCATGGTGAATACTGTGGCAGAGAGAAGCTGAACTTTTCTCCCTCCGTTCACAGCGGAGCTGCTGCTCCCTTTATGGTTCCCCCCCGGCCCCCTCCCTTTCGGGGGGTCGAACTACCTTAAAGGGACAGGCTGCAGCAGCTCCGCTGTGAATGAAGGGAGAAAAGTTCAAATTCTCTCTGCTGCATTTAACGTTGAATTCTGTGGAATATCAAGTGGCCGAAAGGGCCGAGCGAGCGGCTGGAAGAGGTGAGTGGCGATCGGGCGGCCGTGGGTGGGGCCAACCAGGGGTGATTTTTACTGGTTCGGCGAACTGATTCAAATCGTCCCTACCGGTTCGCCCGATCCGGTCCGATGCGGTCAAATTTCACCCCTGGAGTCAGTGTAATTCTTTGACGGTGGCCAATAAATCACTCTGGTTGTTAAGGAGTCCTTTTTATTATTCGTATGACCCTGTCAAATATATATAAATGATGATATAATGGAAGAGAACAGTATAATGGAATAAAAATGGTAATATAATGGAAGAGAACCGATTCCAGCTTCAAAGCCCAGCCAATATTTTTTGTTTTCCATTACTCCATTAAGTTAGCTGGAAGTAATGTCAACGATGCTATTAGCTATTCTATTTTGAGCCACGGTGGCACAGAGGTTAGAGTGCAGTACTGCAGGCTACTTCTGCTGACTGCCAGCTGCCTGCAATTTGGCAGTTCAAATGCCACCAGGCTCAAGGTCGACTCAGCCTTCCGTCCTTCCGAGGTGGTAAAATGAGGAGCCAGATTGTTGGAGGGAATAGGCTGATTCTGTAAAACCGCTTAGAGAAAGCTGTAAAGCACTGAAAAGCGGTATATAAGTCTAAGTGCTATTGCTATTGCTATTTTCATGTGTATTATAGAGAGGGCTTCTATGCATTAAAATAATTTGCAGGAGGATTCAAAATCTGCAGCGTGCAAGTACTTGAACAACTTCAAGGAAGCCTTGTCCTCACCTCGTCAGAGGAAGAACTGGTATGTCGATCTGCTTGCTCTGGAGAATATGTGGGTGACTGGCTACTTAACTGGGAATCATCATCTGAAGAACAACAACAAAATTCCTGAGTTTGTTTCGAGAAACTCTAAACAGTGATACAGGTAGTCCTCGATTTAGAACCACAATTGAGCCCAAAATGTCCATAGCTAAGCAAGGCAGTTGTGAAGTAAGTCATGCCCCATTTTGCAACTTTTTTTCCATGGTGGTTAAGAAATCACTACAGTTGGTAAGTGAATCACGCGGGCATTGAGTGAATCAGGCTTCATCCCATTGATTTTGCTTCTCAGAAGCTCCTTAGGAAAGTTGCAAAGGATAACTCCAGATGAAATGGGAAAACTCGCTGCGGCTTATAGCTTATTTCTGACTCTTAAAAACACAGGGATGAGGCATAGGAGGACCCTACTTCTGTAAGGCCAGATATGAATAATTTAAAATTATGAAAAGTTAATAACAAAACAATGAAGATATGAAATGGTTAATCACTGTATGATCCCTTAAGGTTGCGGCCACCAACCTTCTTACTCCATGGATTGGCGACAGCAGAGGGGGGTGGCGGGAGAGGGATGGTTTTGTGCAGGCAACCTAGCTCCCGCGTGTGTGCAAATAAAGAACGCGCTTGCACGCTGCTTGCATGGCCCAATTCCCAATGGGCCACAGCCCGGGAGTGGTCCGTGGCCTGATGGTTGGGGACCCCTGCCTTAAGACAGTGCTTCCCAAACTTTTTCCTTCGTTATCAGGGGTGGAATTGAAAAATTTTAGCAACTGGTTCTCTGCCTAGTTGCTGGATGGGCGTGACCATGGGAGTGTGGCTTCCTGCACCATGGTGGAGGGGGCATTTTTGCCCTCCCCAGGCTCCGGAGGCTTTTCTTGAGCCTCCGGGAGGGCGAAAATAGCCTCCCCTGGGCTCTGGAGGCCCTCCAGAGGCTGGAAACGGGCCCATTTCCTGACTTCTGGTACTTCTGTTACGCCCATTTTTCACCCTCCCAGAGCCTCCACGCGGGCTCTGCACTTACCTGGCATCCAAATTGGGCCACGTGGAGACTCCTGGGAGGGGTGGGGCAGGCGGGGTCAGCCACTCCTTGTAACTACCATTTTCCAGATTAAACCAGATTTAAAATTAACATCCGGTTTGCCTAAGCCAGTCTGAATCGGCTGAATCCCACCCCTGTAACCGTTTTCCAAAAACCACTGATCAGAAAGTTATTTTTATCCAATGTAACACGGCCATCCCTATTGCGATTGGGTAATGGGTTTGGATGTCATGACCTCCCCCCAAAAAATCACTTTTACTCAATTTTGGATAATTTACCCAAGTTTGGAAGACGTTTCTTTATGATGATTTAGGAGTACCTTACTCATCCTGTTAGATTTTTCTATTCTTAAAGAGGATATTAAAGTCAAAGAACTGAAGGTCTCTTTTTTTCCTTCATCATTAAATTTAAGACAGCTAAGATACCTAAATGAGAAGAGAGCTATTCATGGATTTCAAAATTAAAACTAACCGTTTTGCCTGCTTTGCTTCCAATGCTGATCAAAGTCACTGTAAACTTCCTTATCCAGCTTAAAAAAAATTTAAAAAAATGGTATTAGTATAATTTTTGCCACAGCTGCTTTTATTTAGCTTCTCTTTCAGAACTTGACATCACGGTATAAGTAATTTGCTCAAAAATGTTCTATTGTTTACAACATAATATAGAAATAATTTTTTCCTTACATGAAGGAAATGCTGTTTCTCGGTGAGTTAGTTCAACTACAGGTAGTCCTCGACTTACGACCACAAATGAGCCCAAAATTTCTGCTGCTAAATGAGGCAGTTATTAGGTGATTTTGCTCCATTTTACCACCTTTCTTGACACAGTCATTAAGTGAATCACTGCAGTTGTTAAATTAGTAACATGGTTGTTAAGTGAATCTGGCTTCCCCGTTGACTTTGCTTGTCAGAAGGTCGCAAAAGGGAATCACATGTCACCAGGACACTGCAACCGTCATAAATATGAGTCGGTTGCTAAGTGTCTGGATTTTGATCATGTGACCATGGGAATGCTCCAATGGTCGTAAGTGTGAAAAACAGTCATAAGTCACTTTTTTCAGTGCCGTCGTAACTTTGAACAGTCCAGTAAATGAGCACTATTGTAAATTGAGCACTATCTGTATGCCTGTCGCAAGAATACATTTTCTGAAGTCTTCACTAATGTAATTACACAATCATTCCAATTAAGGGAACCCAAGTTTCTTTCCTATTTGGTTTAGGATTAAAATTGCCCCATCTGGTTAGCAAGAAACAGCAAATGTGTCTTCTCTGCTGATCGTACAAATGATCTTTTAGTATGCAAAGGGCAGATTGTTTGGCATCTGCTGTGTAGCTGCTGACTGCTCATATGCTCTGCACGCAAATCGGCTCGAGAGGTTATTTGTTTTATATAACTCAGCCTTGTTCTGGTGGCAAGCTGACAAAATGTAAAACAAAAAACAGAATGTAAAAGAGGTGTTGAAACAGTACGGAGAAGAGCAAGGAAGATGATAAGGGTTTCTTTTAAAAATGCTCCTATAAATAAATAAGAATAATTGTTTTAGAAATAATCACAAGCAGCGGGGAAAATGTAACCAGGCAGCTTTCTTTGAACGATCGCTTCTCATCCAAGAAGCTTCTTTGGTTCTGACTGGATTGTGGAGAATGGAAGGATTTATTTTCCTTGCAGACAGCAGCTGGTTATTTGCATCCTTTTAGAGAGTTATTGAGGCCACTTGGAGGCTTGTCTGTGTCTTCGGGGTCACCTGAGTAGTGCAAATGGGTGTGGACCAGTGGTGAAATTCAGCCGGATCTATCCAGCTCACGCGATCCGGTAGGGCCGGTGGCAGAAGACTCCGCCCACCCACCTGGACGTCATCATGTTCCGTTTTTTTACTCTCTGCGCATGTGCAGAAGACTCTGTTCATGTGTGAAGGAGGTGCGCACACTCATATTTGCGATCCGGTAGCGAAGGTAGGTGAATTTTACCCCTGGTGTGGACTGAGAACATAGACAAACCTCCAAGTGGCCTCAGTGATTCCCTACAAAGAACGCAAATGACCAGCGGTCTACAAGGAATATAAATCCTTCCATTCCCCACCATCCAGTCAGAACTGAAGAAGCTTCTTGGATGAGAAGCAGAAACGTCTTCAAAGAAAAAAAATCAGAAAGTCCAGTCGCCTCTTGAAAAATCACCTTTGGGACAACCATGACCTGAATGGTTGAGAATCTCCATAGACATTTCTTTGAACAACTTATATCAACTTTTACCGTTTCATGCTCGAAAATCTTCAAATAATCCATATCGGGATCTGAATGGCCTTTCTTCCTGCTGGAAAATAAGCCAGATTTATTCCGCAAGTTAAAAATATCAATGTTAGGGTACAATATAGTTTAGGAAACTTAAGTAAATTAGGTAAGATATAATTCAATCCTTGTTCTTAGCAAGTTCATCTTATAAGCACCTTCCGCCGCGCGCTTAAAACGTTTTTATTTCATCAAGCTGGCCTGGCCTAAATCTTCTCCCTTTTAAATTTTTTTAAATTTAAATTTTAAATACTAATTTTAATTTGTTTAATTATGGGATATTTTTAAAATTGAGCCAAATTGTTTAATCTGTTTTAATCTATTTTAAATTTTGTATTCCTGTGTTTTATCTTTTGGCTGTTCACCGCCCTGAGTCCTTCGGGAGAAGGGCGGTATAGAAATCTAATAAAATAAAATAAAAATAATAAATAAATAAGCATTCAGTAAATATCTGACACCTTTTAGAACTAGGAAAATCTAACAATAGGAACTAACTATTCTAATATGTTCGAAGAATACAACCCCTGGGCCACGGACTGATACTAGTCCGTGGCCTGTTAGGAACTGGGTTGCAGGTAAGCGAGTGAAGCTTCATCTGTGTGATCTATGTCAGGGGTGAAATGCTCCCGGATCAGACCGGATTGGCCGATCCGGTAGCGATTTTTCCCTGTGGTTCAGCAATCCGGTAGCAATCGTCGCCCGGGTGTCATTATTTCCTGGTTTTAACCAGGAAGTAATTTTTTTTGCATGCACAGAAGGTGTGTGCGTGCATGTGACACACACGCATGTGAGAGAGAAGTGAGAACTTCCGAACTAGTAAGGAAGGTAAGTAGATTTCACCCCGATCTATGTTGTGTGTGGAACCATCTCTCCCCGCCTCCAGTCCGTGGAAAAATTGTCTTCAGTGAAACCCTGGTGCCAAAAAGTTTGGGGACTGCCCCTTTACAGTATAAAATATAACACAACAAACACAACAGTAATGCTGAGATAAATACTTAGGCCCTGACCTAATACATAAAAATGTATTTGCTAGCAATAGGCAAATCTATTTTCATTTCTTATATTTAAAGCATTGCTATTTTCATCCTGGATGAAAGAAGAGTGGAGAAATGTTGTTGCAATAGAAGAACCGATGTTGTCCTAAATACAACATATTAATGGATATCATCCACGTCCTCTAACTTTTTGTGGTTCAGGACACATAATCCAGGCCAACTGCACAATGACTGCAAAGTTGGCTTGGAAAACTAAATCAGCACTGAAGAATAGTTTTCTTGCATAATAGGTGCCAGTAATTGCTATCATAGATATGTCTCCTCAGCTTGTGCCTTCCTTCTTTCCTTTCTCTTCCTTCCTTCCTTCCTTCCTTTCTTCTCATTCTTTCTTCCTTCCTTCCTTCTTCCTTCCTTCCTTCTTTTCTTCCTTTCTTCTTTTCTTTCTTTCTTTCTTTTTCTTTCTTTCTTTCTTTCTTTCTCTCTCTCTCCCCCCCCCTCTCTTTCCTTTCCTTTCCTTTCCTTTCCTTTCCTTTCTTTTCTTTCTTCGGATCCTGCCTTTATGATTTTTACAAATAATTCAAAGCGGCAAACACATCCAATACTCTTCCTCCACCTTTTCCCCACACAACAACAATCCTATGAGGTGGGTTGGGCTGAGAGACAGTGCCCGGCCCAAAATCACTCAGCTGGCTTTTGTGACTGAGGCAGAACTAGAACTCACTGTCTCCTGGTGATTGGCCCAAAGTCACCCAGCCGGCTTTCCTGCCTAAAGCAGGACTAGAACTCAGAATCTCCGAATCATTAGGCCAGAACCTTCAACAATGAACTGGATCTCTTTATAATAAGATACATTAAAATACACTTTGACTGTAAGTAATCAAACTAGTCGTTTAGTTATGAAAATAAACATTAAGCTGTAATAGTTCTGCATTATTTTGAAGTAATTTTGGAACAATAATTTTGGAAGGCAGAAATTCTGTGCATGTGGGCATATTAGAGCTGCTTTCCTGTAATCAGTCTTCGATCATGCTTACCTCATATCCATTTTATAAGAGTACTTTCTCATGAACTATGTAAAAAAATTCTCATTCTGTAATACCATTCTTTACGTGAATGAAACTCTTTTTTTTAAAAAAAAAAAACTCACCTGTTCTTTAAGTAACTCTTTATAGGTTTTGGTACCTTAGTACATTTCATTTGGTTTTTAAAACCTCCTGCAAAACAAAACAAAACAAAACAAAAATCTTAAAAATACATTTACACGGTAACATTAAAAAGAACACACGGACCGTAATTCAGCGGTGTGTTTTTCCCTCCTTCAGCAACTTCTCCATTCATTTCAGTCACTTATAAGTTCACTAGCCTGCTACTAAAATGAAAAGGGAACCTCCCCTAATTTCTACAGAAACATTCATTTTTATGATCATTTATAGATCAAAATATATTTCAGTCGTTTAATTTAACATGACACTAATTAATCAGTTGGGCCCTCAATATTATAAGGCATGTTTTTAATTCTGCTTTCAAATCTGTCAAACGCTATACGTACACCGATATTATTGGAGAGGAACTGTCCCAGTCAAGGAGGAGGGATCAAACGGGGAATTAGCCTGGACTCATTATGTAAACACAAAAGGGCAAGATCTTCCTTAAATGCCTTTGAGCCTTATAAGGTCTCTCAGGCGAATCTGCCAGTTTGGGAACATTCCTGTATTATAGGCAGAGAACAATAAAGTAGCTACTTTGAACTCTACGCTGATTTGATTGTTTGTGCCTGACAGATAGTCAAAACATTTTAAAGATAAGGTCCTCCAACATCACATGGAGAAGAATGAGAAACAATGTCAAAAAAGGGGTAGTTTGGTTCTCATCTCATTCAGGTTTCACAGAACAAACAGGCCGATTTTTGGGATACAGAAAGAGATTCATTCCTCTAGGCCGAATCTTCAGGATCCAAGCACAACTGCATTCTCTCTTTTCCCTGGTTAATCATGGTTGCCATTTGCATGCTTGGGAAATCATATATAATATTGCTCCTATGGCTAGTGGTATTATTTGAATGCAATATATTGCAAATGAGTGCAATGATGCACCATCTGGAACCCGTTAAATGGCTGGTATGAATGTGTGTTATCATCAGGGTGGGGCTTATTGTTTTATTATTTTTATTATTTTTATTTTTTATTATTTTTATTATTTTTATTTTTACTTTTATTTCTTTTATATTGTGCTTCTATGTTTGAGAGTAGGCAGCAATATACGTTTTCTAAATAAATAAATAAATAAATAAATAAATAAATAAATAAATAAATAAGTAAGTAAGTAAGTAAATAAATAAATAAATAAAATATAGCTCAGCAAGACATCCCTGCAATGTGTAACATTAAATGCCTGCCTTAATAAAATTAAAAAAAACATATTAATCAAATGTTAATCAACCTCTTAAACATAAAACCCTCCTCGTTACATTTGCCACTTGCACTGTGGATATTTACCTATATTATCAAAGAACGTAGTAAGTTTTTGCTGATCGGATAACTCTACAGGATTTTTTTTCTGGATACTGCCGTGTTTGAACTGATTCCAGTTTGGATTCTGGTTTACTGAATTTAAGCTTCGGTTGTTAAGGGAGCAAATCATCTCTGGAGCCGTGAGGATGCTTGAGAGGTCCCTCTCAGCTACACAGTGGGCAGGACCTATCATCTCATGCATTTCTTCACCGTCATACAGGCTGGGTTTACCGAATATTTCTTTTGCATCTCCAAAATCTGTGAATAGCTGGTCAACATGGCTTTTGTTAGCAAAAGAGCAGTAAGATTGAGAAGGAGGAAACGTCAGAAATTGATTTTCTTCTTCAAACAAACTTGCAATTGGCTGGAACTTTGCATCTTGGTTAGTCTTTATCTGGTCGTTTATAGTATCAAACAATGATTCTTCTCCATTTGCTTGGCTCTTTCCAGAATCCTTATCAATGGAGATACCGTATCCTGGACTTGGGGAAGGAAAAAGGGTAAAATGTGAATCGCTGGTATGTCACAGACAGTGTAAGGTTTTAAATTTTATTTTTTACTTAATATGAAAGATAGACTTCTTGCTCACATGACATTGTGTTGGGTTTTAGAATTCTGCAATAATTATAGATTTTTATTCTTAAACAAAACTGGAAATCTGAGTTTCCTATATTTCATTTGAAATATTGCTCAATAACTGTGATTACCCAGTCTAACCACTGTATGTCACTGTGGCTCCATTAATGTCAGGAAAAGAGGAGTAATAAAAGTCACAGGAAATGATGTCAGAGCATAAAATACCTAATGAAACATCTAAGAGTTTTGAAATGTTTTGATTTGGACCATCACTGGTGTTATACCTAATATTTTAAAGAAATCAAATAGAACCAACAATACTGTATTTAATCATCCATTCATTTATCTGAATGTGTATATTTCAGAAAAAAGAATTACCATACTCTGTCACATTTGATAATATTCTCTTTAATTTGGACATTATTTAGGTAGTGCTCAAATACATTTAGCTTTAGGTATTTAAGCTCATTTGTAAATACAATAGTCCAGCAAGGTAGCACAATTCTGATTTCTACATCAGACATGGCTGCAAGTGTTTGTTTATTTTCAGTAAAACAGGTGTCAGGTTTCGATGTCATCTCAAATAAATTGCATTTCCAAAAGATGAAATCTTTCATTTATTAAGCATGACAATCTGTCCCCGATTATGTCGTAGCCAACACTGACTTCCTGACCCCAAACCTTCCCTTTCCGTTCCCCAATTCTCTGCATCTCACTGGCCATCTTCCAAGTCACTCTCCCCATATCTACTACTTCAGCTCCCAGGAATGTCCCCCCTCCCAGTCCATCTCCTAGGTGATATTATCTTCAGGGAAAATAAGCAGGTGAAAAATCAAATGTCCTCTTGCCAGCTGCCCCCTCTTCTCCTCCTTATGTCAGCACTGGAACGAATATAGTTTGGAGTGCTGACATCAAGTCACTTTTTGGGGACTGAGGAAAACTATAGCTTGATCTGTTTCCTGCATATAATCTCAAACAATAGCATAAGATTTCAACAATATAATTGTATATTTATGTGAAATAAAATGAAATAATAAGTGATTAACCCCCACTTTTTATAAGAAACTGTAACTTTATTAAAAATAATATAGGAAATACTAATGCTCTGACGGTCATTTCGAAAAATCCTTTCTTAGTGAGCACTTAGAAGCCAAGAGAAACATATGTGGCAAATTTCAAATTTGTAGGCTTTACAGTTCTGGAGATTTTGTGATGATGCGTGAGTGGTATTTCGCTTTTATATATATAGATTCACATGGAAAAAACACTATTACAAAGCAAGGGGTTTCCCCCACAGATTATGCATTTAAAAGTACAGCAATACAATTGATAAATAATCTATTTTTACCTAGTCAGTTGCTGGAAATATAGACCAACGGGTGTTTCTGAATCTGATGCAGAGAATTCTTCTGGCCTGTATGCTGTCATAGAAAGCCAGAAGTCTTCATCTTTATTATTATTTACTGGCCAAGAAGATCCTAACTCCTGTCAATACATTAGAAAAAGGCTTCAAGACAGATTAGACATCTTCTAAGAAATTTGTTCATTTTATAAACTTTTTTGACTTTAATGATAGGAATACCTTTTTTCTTTAGAGAAGAACTGGCGAACTGAAACAGTTTATTCTTTTACTTCATGGAATTGTCTAGTAATATGCATGAAGGAATTTATATCCTGTATTTTATTGGGAGGTTTTTTTGGGGGGGGGGTGTCTTTTATTTTACTGATGGATTTGTATATCATTTTAGTATTGTTTTGAGAAGGGTGATTGACTAGAGCTCTACAATGAAGACGAGGCTTATATTAAAAGTCTTCTATTCTACAAGCTGACATTAGAATTGCTCTAAAATTCATGCCATAAATTCAAACCATTGTGTTATGTCTGACACAGAGATACAAGTGATCGATCTTTCCTGAAAAGACCTTACTTCAGAATGAATGCTGGCTTTTTCAGAGAGGTATTTTCTTCTACTATCCAAGATTTCTTCTTGTATTCTATGAAGAAAATAATTTAAAAAGCAAAGTAAGTCATTGGTGTATTTAAAAAAAACAACATATGATTTATGCATTTTCAGGTAGAGGCAAATTTGTTTTGAAACAAATTTAAAACATTTACTTCTGTAGGATAATCCTATTCAGCTCTACTTAGATTTAAATCCTGTTGTCTCCAGTTTTAAATAAATGTGCATAAAATTCTGCTAATAGTTAACTAATTTAATGTTCCTTTAGATCTGATACAATAGGAAGAGTCTGGGAGTAACATCAAGACTAACAACCGTGTTGTGGGTTCAAAATCCATTTTGTGAGAGGATTACCTAAAATAAATACCCCATACTTGTACAAAAGTGAGCAAGTTATCTTTTTATTATATTATGTACAGTAAGGGCATGTAGTCCTTGACTTACAACCTTTCATTTTTTTTTTTTTTTATTTGATTTATATGCCGCCCTTCTCCGGAGACTCAGGGCGGCTTACAATGCGTTAAGCAATAGCCTTCATACTTTTGTATATTTTATACAAAGTCAGCTTATTGCCCCCACAAACTGGGTCCTCATTTCACCTACCTTAGAAAGGATGGAAGGCTGAGTCAACCTTGAGCCTTGGAGAGATTCGAACCAGCAGAAATTGCAGGCAGCTGTGTTAATAACAGGGTGCACTAAACCACTGTACTATCAAGGCTCTTAGTGATTTTGCATTTAGTGATTGTTTGAAGTTACAACGGCACTGAAAAAAGTGACTTATGACCATACTTATGACTTTTGCAGCATCCCCATGGTCATATGATCAAAAGTCAGACACTTGCCAACTGACTCATATTTATGACGGTTGCAGTGTCCCAGGGTCATGTGATCACTTTTTGCAACTTTCTGACAAGCAGAGTCAATAGGGGAAGCCAGATTCACTTTACAACCATGGTACTAACTTAACAAGTGCAGCAATTCATTTAACAACTGTGGCAAGAAAGGTTGCAATATGGGGCAAAAGCTCACTTAACAACTCTCTCGCTTAGCAATAGAAATTGCTACAGGACTACCTGTGGTCTAAATCTGGGATTGTTGAGGAAGATAATCAGCAAATTAACTTGCAAGTTTTTAGTTAAGAATGTATAGCTAGTTGCTTCTAACTTTCCATAAAGAGAAATGAGGTTGAAAGTTCTGAACTAGCAAGTTTGCATTTAACAGTTGATAGCAACTTGATGTCCTGTAATCTACTTTCTCATGAGTTTAGGACAGGGATCTGCAACCTTAAACACTCAAAGACCCATTTGGACCTGTTTTCCCACAGAAAAGAAAACACCAGGAGCCACAAAACCTGGCTGGGCGTGGCCAACTCAATGTCACATCCACCCAGTCACATGAAACCCCCCCCAACCATGCCTACCTGGGTTTTGTGGCTCAGCCGCAGCCGGGCTGGGCCAGTGCTCTAGACTTGCAACTTGCTCTCGCCACCTCCATGGCCTGCTCGCTGCTCTCGCAGCGCCTTGTGCGGCACACTTAAATTTAGTGTGCTTCACAATGGGGGAAATGGGGTCCCTTCCTCCTCCTCGAGCTCATTACAATGCAAAGCATCAGCCGCAGCTGGGCCGGGCCAATGTCTCGAGGCGGAGAGAAAGTCGTGCGACTCCCCGAGCGACCGAAATGCACGCAGCACCAAGAAGTGCCAGAAGCGCCCGCGAGATGAGGCAAGTACAGGGGCACTTTCCTCCCACTCTGGAATATGAAGCGAGTCTCTATCCCCACCGTTGCCCTTACCTTCTCAGGCCACGTAATGAGTACGTGGGAGGGTAAGGGGCGGGGCCAGTGGCAGGGAGCCACAGTAGGGGGATGAAAGAACTGCATGCAGCTCGGGAGCCGCACGTTGCCGACACCCAGTTTAGATACATGGAAATGTTTGAGATTTTTAATGAAGACTACAGTATATCTTATGGCTATTAACAGCCCTAAGATTTCATTACATTTCATCCTTCTTTATAGGTTCACATCAATTTTAATGCAAGGCAATACCTGCAAAAAGGAAATGATCTGGAAATCTTAGTACTTTAAGCATACGATGGGAAAATAATTGGCAGTGACAGTTATCTGGGGGAAAAAAATTGCACTTGAAAATGCAGCCCATGACAGAAATGAAAGCATTTTACTAAAATGTGAAAAGATAATTGACATTTTATGCACCTGTGCTGGATGTCATCAAGGGACAGCTTAGCTGGTCTGCATTCTGGTGACTTGGGGAAATCTACATTTTGCTTTCTCAAAGGAATTTTAGTTTCTCTGTTAATATCTACATGAATTGGCTTTCGAATATTCTCTGTAATTAAAATGAAGATTATTAGCAAGATTACCATGAGTTAAAGAGGAACACAGTATCTATCTATCTATCTATCTATCTATCTATCTATCTATCTATCTATCTATCTATCTATCTCTAGCCCTCTATTTTATATCTCTGTCTCTCTATCTCTAATCTTTATATCTCTGTATTTCTATATTTATATCTAAAGGCGCAGAACCTGGCCAATTTTTCAGATTCAGAACCAAATAGGTACTAAGGGCTACCTGGAAATGCAAACATAGCACCTGTCCCCAACTTTTAAAAGCAACTGTGTCTTTTCCTGCCTGGTGGTAATTGCCACGAGATCTTAGGGAAAAAAAGACAGCTACTTTATGCAAAGTAGACATTTGTTTTACTCATGATCTTGTGTTCTAAAGCACCTTGTTGGAACTGAATTCAAATGATTGTACAGCTCTAATTCCCACTAGCAATTGGCAAATAGGATATTATGGGTTACAGCTTTTTGTGCCCAATTTCTACTTCTAATTACAGCAGCAAACTTGTAGTTCGGATGAAAAATACAGTTGAAATTTGATGAAATGAATACTGAGGCTATAGGGCAGCTAGGACTTGGTGATGTCCTAACAAAGAAGAGGGGGGTCAAATTATTCTCCGAAACACCAGAGGGCAGGACAAGAAATAATGGTTGGAAACTGATCAAAGAGAGAAGCAACCTGGAATTAAGGAGAAATTTCCTAACAGTAAGGACAATTAACTAGTGGAATGACTTGTCTCCAGAAGTTGTGGGTGCTCCATTACTGGAGGTTTTTAAGAAGAGATTGGACAACCATTTGTCTGAGATTTTATAAATTCTCCTCTTGAGCTGAGGGCTGGACTAGAAGACCTCCAAGGTCTCTTCCAGCTCTATTCTATTCTATTCTATTCTATTCTATATTCTATTCTATTCTATTCCTATTCTATTCTATTCTATTCTATTCTATTCTATTCTATTCTATTCTTCTCTAATCTAGTCTTTGAAAATTAAACTGTGTCTGTGAAATTTGTACTTACCAGCATTTTCTTTCTTTGTAGAGATCTGATTAACAACGTAGAGATTGAGAAGGTCCAAACTGACAGCTGAGCTTTTCAAAGGAGATACTCCCAGTAACTTCATCTTTGACTTAAGTTTTTCCTTTTCAAAAAAATCCTATTGAGAAGAGGTAGCAGTTATCTATACATATATGTTCATATAGGACATTTTGCGACCTTCTAACAAATCTATAGATAGATAGATAGATAGATAGATAGATAGATAGATAGATAGATAGATAGATAGATAGATATAGTTATATATAGATATATAGATATATATCCTCTCTAGCAAATATATTGATACGATTGATTATTGACTTTTCCTCTTGGAAATAACATGGACATGAAGGTTACAACAGCAACCTTCTGTTGTAGTTAAACTGAGAGAAATGTGATGGGTCAAAAATCACTCAGGATCTTATAGTAGATTCCTGGATCTTCCTAGATCTAGTAGTTAAACATGTGCACAACAATGATTATGATTTTAAAACAGCATTCAATATATCTGAAAATAGCTACCATGGCTCCATCGTTATAGAATATGCAAACTTCTGCATTTGGTTCATAAATTTTTTATTATAAAATTATTGTGATGACAACAATGAGGATGATGAAGATTTCTGGCTAGCTCACATATATTTTTAAAGTGTAATCAATAGTTACCTTCTGTTTTCTTCTCTCTTTGGTAAGCATGATTCTTCGGCTAGAAGTTGGAAGAGAGAAAAGAAGAAGCATTTTTAGAACAGTTTATAAAATTCAACTACTAAATCAGAAATTATTATTAATGGTGTGTTTTTCCTTTGATTAAATTTCTTGCCCACTTAATTCAAAATTCTGAAGACTTAAAATTTGTGGGGTGGAAGGGAGGGTTTCAAAGAAGTGAGAATATTTGAATAATATTGTTAGATGTTTTCGGAACTGTTCTGTTTACAGCATCATTTTTTCAGGCCTTTTCTTTCCTTATTGCTATTGCTCTTATTATTAGATTTTTATCCCATCTTTCTCTCTTTCCCATCTCTATATTCAAGGTGGCAAACATACTTAATACTCCTACCTCCCATTTTTGACAGAACAACCCTGCAAAGTAGGTTCTTTTGAGAGAGTGACTGGGCCAAAATCACCCAGACAGCTTTCACGATCACAAACTGCTCTACCAATATCTTAACTACTATACCAACTAGCTTCTATTATTATCATCACAGATTTTCATCATGTATAATTTATGATAACAATTCATGCCAACAATGAGCATAGTAAATATTGCATATTATATTATTGCATTCAACATAATGTATTAATTTAGAATTAATTCCTGCATGGTATTATTATAAAATATCTCAATTTACGATGATTGTTTAGCATGATTAGCATAACAAATAAATATTGCATATTTATTTATTATGCATCTTGCATATTATCCTGCTGTAATAATTTGCTATTTATATATGCATGGCATAATTCATTATGATGCATTTATTTGTTCAACTTATACAGCCACCTATCTCAACCAATGAACCTGAAGCTTGCAACTGAAAATACATATAATTAAAACAATGAAAACATTTAAAAAACAATAACCATTTTAAAACAATAAACAAACTAAATAAAAGTATGAAACAAAATTATTATTTATCCAAAGTAAACAGACATATGCATCCTATGTTTATTGATTGGCATGATTAGCATAATAAATATTGCATATTATTTTATTATTTTAATCATCATTTGCTATTAATGTATACCTGGCATCATAAAAATTCACTATGATGTATGAATTCATGCATGAATGCAAGTAAGTATGTAAGTATGTATGTAGGTAGGTAGGTAGGTATTCATTCATTCATTCATTCATTCATTCATTCATTCATTCATTCATTCATTCATTCATTCTATGTCTATAACTGCCCATTTCACTCAATGATCCTGGCCAGCATACAATTTTTAAAAAATGCACACTACAATTAAAACAATTTTAAAAAACTAAATAAAAAAAATAATTGTCTAAAATAGGCATATGTATCTCAATTATAGCTACCGATTTGCATCACAAACAGAGCTTATTACCATCAAATATATTTACGCGTTAATAAATACATCATTTTTAGATTTTAAATCTCTGAGACAAAGTTTCCATTACTTTTTGGGTTGGGAAGATAATATTTTTAAAAAAAGAAGAAGAAGAAGGAAGGATGACTACTAAAAGCATGGATGTATTATCACTAACATTATAGTTTCCTATTTCTACATTTCCTTGTTGTGATACCGAGATATGTTTGGTTGTTTTTGGAAAATTAGCATTTTAGAAAAATGAGTCTAAGAACCAGAGATATTGTGGATTTGGGACAGAGATGAATATCCCCATAAAATAGACCATAATGGAGGCCATGAGGTGTTGATCTGACTTCAAAATGGAGAAATCTGAGGGGTTTTATTTTCCTAGGTGCCTTGTTTCCCTCATGCCAATACTTTTAAATATTTATGGACTGCATTTCCCTGCCTTGCAAAAAAAAAAAAAAAAAAAAGAATATAATGAACAGGGAAGTCAATAAAACAGGGGAATTTATCCAGCCCGAACAGAGCTGGCTTTAAAAATAATAATAATAATCCTGAAGAGCAGGCAGAAGTTCAAAAGGGAAAGATCTACCACAGCTTTGAAAATCCAAAGGAAATTATTCCTTTTTTTTTTTCCTCTACGCCTGTCATACTACTTTGCAGGCCTTGAAGTGTAATAATTGGAATTTTTTTTTAAAAAAAAATCGTTTTATTTTGTATTGATGTTGTGGGGGAAACCCGATATAAAAGAAATAAACGTAATTTAAAAAGACAATTAATAAAATAATATCATTGGGGTGGGGTTATTATATTATTTTATTATTTGTCTTTTTAAATTATTTTCATTTCTTTTATATTGGGTTTTTGTGTCCTTGTCAGCCGCCTTGAGTCGGCAATATAAATTTTCTAAATAAAACAAAATAAATAAATAAATCAAATCAGAAGAGGAAGGAAGGCGTATTGGATACATTCACGGCCTTAGGATGGTTTGTGAAATCCATAAAGGCTGGATACAAAATAAAATAAAATAAAATAAAATAAAATAAAATAAAATAAAATAAAATAAAATAAAAAATTAAATTAAATTAAATTAAATTAAATTAAATTAAATTAAATTAAATTAAATTAAATTAAATTAAAATAAATTAAATTAAATTAAAATAAAATAAAATAAAATAACCCAGCCTGGAAGAAGAGTGTCAACCTTAAAAGCAGACAATATGTCCCCTCACAACAAAAAGTTGTGTCATTGTGAGGCCTTTTTGGCTTCACTCACCGGGATCCCCCAACCCAGTTCATTTTTCCTTCGTCCTGCCAATGCCACCCCTGACAGGCAGGCCACCCAGACGGCCACCGGCCTGAAAAGAAGGAAAAGGAAAAAAGAAAGAAAGAAAGAAGGAAGGAAAAGAGGCAGCCCCTGAGGGGAAATATCAACCCCCACAAATCCAGTGGGGATCACAAGAATGGCTGAGGGAAAGGCTGTCAGCCTCTTCCTGAACCCGGGGCCTCAGTAAACAATTCAGGAATGAAAAATTAAAAATAAATAAATAAATAAATAAATAAATAAATAAATAAATAAATAAATAAATAAATAAATAAATAGAGGCAATGAAAAGGAGCAAAATGGGTGGTGGGAAGGAAGAGAAGAGAAACAAAGAATTGGGGAAGGGCTTGCAAAAACGAGGTGCACGAGCCAAATTTTCCAGATTCCCCGTTTGGCATTTGCAAGCAAAATCACTTGCAACCAAACTCCCTCCATGGCACAGGCATAGAATTGCAACCCCTTGCAAGGGAAGGGGCTGAATTCGAATCCCTGTTAATATCCTTTCCTCCCTTTGGGGTCCTTACGGAGAGGCTGAGCCCCCACCACCCCAGAGAAAATCCAGGGTCCCTTAAAGCCCCCCCACTTAAAAAAAAAAAAAGATCTGGGTGGATTCCTCCCCAGGGGCATGGAGATCATCGATCAGATTTACTAAATGCCAACACGGCTGGGGCTGATCTCACCTACAGAGGGGAAATCGTATTTTATTTTATTTTATTTATTTATTGGTATCCCACCTTTTATTATTTTTACAAATAATTCAAGCAGTCACATATCAACACAACTTCTTCCATATGTGTGTGTGTGTGTGTGTGTTATGGTATATTATTGTATTATATATTATTGTATTATATATATTATATTGTTATGTTACGTTGTTATGCTACTCTATATTGTATTATTATATTATGCTATATTGTATTTTATTGTGCTATATTATGCTATAATATATATTATTATATCTATTATGTTATATTACATAATGCTATATTATGCTATAGTATATTAATTGTACTATTCTATTCTATACTATATTGGGACGTGGTGGCTCAGTGGCTAAGACGCTGAGCTTGTCGATTGAAAGGTCTGCAGTTCAGCGGTTCGAATCCCTAGTGCCGCGTAACGGGATGAGCTCCTGTGACTTGTCCCAGCTTCTGCCAACCTAGCAGTTTGAAAGCACGTAAAAAATGCAAGTAGAAAAATAGGGACCACCTTTGGTGGGAAGGGAACAGCATTCTGTGCGCCTTTGGCGTTGAGTCATGCTGGCCACATGACCACGGAGACGTCTTCGGACAGCGCTGGCTCTTCGGCTTTGAAATGGAGATGAGCACCGCCCCCTAGAGTCAGGAACGACTAGCACATAGCGAGGGGAACCTTCACTATTCTATTCTATTCTATTCTATTCTATTCTATTCTATTCTATTCTATTCTATTCTATTCTATTCTATTGCTGTTATGCTATGCTATGCTATGCTATGCTATGCTATGCTATAGATGCGGAAGGCTCCTCCTGGAATAGGCCAGTCTGATTCCTGTCTCTCAAATCAATGGAACTTGCTAGATGTATTTCACATCGCTGGAGTCCTCATATAAAAATTCCCATTTGAGTAAGCCAAATGAATCCATTGCAAAAAAAAGTACAGGTAGTCCTTGACTTATGACTGTTCATTTGGCGATTTACGACTGCTGAAAAAAAATGGCTTATGACCAGTCCTTGCATTTATAACCGTGGAAGTGTTCCCACAGTCATGTGATCAAAATTTGGGAACCAGGGTACTACTGATGGTGGCTGCAGCGTCCTGGATCCAAGTGATTGCCACCCTCCCAAAGGGCTTCTGACAAGCAAAATTAATGGGATGAGATGGATATTCTTAATGACCACGGGATTCACTTAGTGACTATAGCAAAATTGCCCATGGTTGCATGATGACTCACTTAACAACTGCATTGCTTAGTGACAGAGGTCGCAATTTGTGGTGGTAAAATCAAGGACTCTCTGTAAGTTAAGTATGTACTTTGCTAAATCTGCCCCTGTCCATATCTGCATCAGGGTTATTCAAAGGAATGGGTAAGATAGGAATAAAACCTGTATTGTTTAATTGGATTTTTTAAAATGTATGTACAGTACTTTATTAATGCACTCTCTCCTTTCTTTCTTCCCATAGTTTGGACCGGCCTGTAAAAAATGGAATATTCTGTTCTTCTTGATGCTCCTGACTCTTCCCAAACCAATTACTCTTACCAATTTTTTCAGTGTTTAAACTTTTTTCTTTAAATGCTGCTTTTCCCCCCAGAGTTTAATATTTAAATAGGAGGAAGCTAAAGGTTACAATTAGCTTGCATCAATCTTTTTTTTATTTTATTTTCGACGGACGCCCATTAGTCGTAATTCTATTCCAAATATAGAAGGAGTTATTGATTATTCAATAAAACAGGAAAGACAACCAAGTAAAACATGCTTACACGGCTGATTTAATAAACAGATGGAATAAGGAGGGCCTTATCTTTTATATCGTTTTAAACGGAAAAGCAGATGAAAAAGTAAAAAAGTATGAGACAGGATCTACAGTAAATAGGATCAGGATGTATTAATTTAGGCACTTATTTTGTAAATTAATATATTGCTCATCCCTAAATGATTTTGGATAGATAAAAAATGATAGATAGATAGATAGATAGATAGATAGGGTGGGTAGATAGATAAATAGATAGATACTGTAGATGATAGAGAGACAAAGAGAGATGGATAGAGATAGATACTGTAAATAGATAGATAGATGATAGATAGATAGATAGATAGATAGATAGATAGATAGATAGATAGATAGATAGATAGATAGATATGGGTGGGTAGATAGATAAATAGATAGATACTGTAGATGATAGAGAGACAAAGAGAGATGGATAGATAGAGATAGATACTGTAAATAGATAGATAGATGATAGATAGATAGATAGAATAGATAGATAGATAGATAGATAGATAGATAGATAGATAGATAGATACTGTAGATGATAGAGAGAGAGATGGATATAGATATAGATAGATGGGTGGGTGGGTGGATAGATAGGTAGGTAGGTAGATAGATAGATATGGGTGGGTGGGTACATAGATAAATAGATAGATATTGTAGATTATATATATATATATATATATAGAGAGAGAGAGAGAGAGAGAGAGAGAGAGAGAGAGAGAGGGAGAGAGAGAGAGGGGGGGGATACTGTAGAGAGATATAGATATAGATACTGTAGAGTAGATAGAGAGATAGAGAGATAGATGATAGATAGATAGATAGATAGCCATATCACTTAGACTTATATACTGCTTCATTGTGCTTTACGGTACACTTTAATGATTCAGAGAGTCAGCATATAGATATAGGTATTTGGGTAGAAATAAAAGTCTTAGATTGAAAACAGAGTAACAGTTGTAAAATTTAAAGACACATCATATGTGAGAGACCAGGCTTTTATTCTGAAAAAGACCAGGAATTTATTCTTCAATCAATAAAGTAGTTGCTAGCCAAGCTGTGGAACCTGTATAATATATTTTATTTTATTTGTATATGTGTGTGGCATGCGCACAAATGCTTCTTTAAGTCAGTCTACAGTCGATGGCCTGTAGAAGTCGCTTGAATTTTCTTGGCAACACTTTTAGAAATGGCTTACCATTGCTTTCCTTCCAGGGCTTAGAGAGAGTGACTGGCACAAACTCGCCGAACTGGCTTCCTGCCTAAGGCAAGACAAAAATTTTTAATCCAGTGCCCTTGATCATTGCAGCTTGGCTAGCAACTACTTTATTGATGTGTCTTTAAATTTTACAAGTGTTACTCTGTTTTCAATCTAAGACTTTTATTTCTACCCAAATATCTATATCTATATGCTGACTCTCTGAATCATTAAAGTGTACTGTAAAGCACAATGAAGCAGTATATAAGTCTAAGTGATATGGCTATCTATCTATCTATCTATCTATCTATCTATCTATCTATCTATCTATCTACCTACCTACCTACCTACCTACCTACCTACCTACCTACCTACAGTATCTATATCTATCTATCTATCTATCTATCTATCTATCTATCTATCTATCTACCTACCTACCTACCTACCTACCTACAGTATCTATATCTATCTATCTATCTATCTATCTATCTATCTATCTATCTATCTATCTACCTACCTACCTACCTACCTACCTACCTACCTACCTACAGTATCTATATCTATCTATCTATCTATCTATCTATCTATCTATCTATCTATCTATCTACCTACCTACCTACCTACCTACCTACCTACAGTATCTATATCTATCTATCTATCTATCTATCTATCTACCTACCTACCTACCTACCTACCTACCTACAGTATCTATATCTATCTATCTATCTATCTATCTATCTATCTATCTATCTATCTACCTACCTACCTACCTACCTACCTACCTACCTACAGTATCTATATCTATCTATCTATCTATCTATCTATCTATCTATCTATCTATCTATCTATCTATCTATCTACCTACCTACCTACCTACCTACCTACCTACAGTATCTATATCTATCTATCTATCTATCTATCTATCTATCTATCTATCTATCTATCTACCTACCTACCTACCTACCTACCTACCTACCTACCTACCTACAGTATCTATATCTATCTATCTATCTATCTATCTATCTATCTATCTATCTATCTATCTATCTATCTACCTACCTACCTACCTACCTACCTACAGTATCTATATCTATCTATCTATCTATCTATCTATTATCTATCTATCTATCTATCTACCTACCTACCTACCTACCTACCTACAGTATCTATATCTATCTATCTATCTATCTATCTATCTATCTATCTATCTATCTACCTACCTACCTACCTACAGTATCTATATCTATCTATCTATCTATCTATCTATCTATCTATCTATCTATCTATCTATCTATCTACCTACCTACCTACCTACCTACCTACAGTATCTATATCTATCTATCTATCTATCTATCTATCTATCTATCTATCTATCTATCTACGGTATCTCTATCTATCTATCTATCTATCTATCTATCTATCTATCATCGACAGTATAACTATCTATCTATCTATCCTATCATCTACAGTATCTATCTATCTATCTATCTATCTATCTATCTATCTATCTATCTATCATCATCGACAGTATAACTATCTATCTATCTATCCTATCATCTATAGTATCTATCTTATCTATCTATCTATCTATCTATCTATCTATCTATCTATCTATCTATCTATCTATCTATCATCTATCTAGTTTACAACAGAAAATAAAAAGCATGTTTCTCATCCCTCAACGCTTCTCTGTTTCTGAGTCCTGAGCAGGATAATCCCTTGTAGCTTCTGAATACAAGGCTCCTAATCCCAGGGCTGGAAATAAGCAGCTCAAGGGATCAGAAACCCGTTTTATGATCAGGAAGAGGAAATTCTTATGAAAGACGAAGAACGGAGGTTGGGTTGGTAGCACTGGCAGATTTACCAGCTTTGGAGGTATCGCTCTGTTTAATAAAATCCATCATATGATTTTTTTAGTCTTTCTGTAAGTCTGCATTTTTAATTTATTGCATTTAGAAGCCACTGAGCCACCAAGATTCTATTGAGGCAGGTAAAAATCTGATTAAAAATAAGTAAAAAATAAATAAGCAATGCTTGTAGCTAAACACACTTGCCCATAACAAACAACAGGAGAAAAATATTTATATGAAGAATAATCAGAGGAAATAATCTAGAGAGCTAACTTTTGAGATGTACAGGAAGTCCTCGACTTAGGACCACAAGGAAGCCCAAAATTTCAGTTGTTAAGCATGAACAGTTGTTTAAGCCAGTTTTGCCCCCGTTTTACGACCTTCCTTGCCACAGTTGCTATGCGAATCACTGCCGTCGTTAAGTTGGCTTCCCCGTTGATTTCGCCAGTCGGAAGGTCGCAAAAGGAATCATGTAACCTTGGGACACTGCGACCGTCATAAATGCGAGCCAGTTGCCCAAATTTTGATCACATGATCACGGGGATGTTTCAATCAGTAAGAAAAACGGTCATAAGTCCCCCTTTTTTTCCAGCGCTGTTGTAACTTCAAATGGTCATTAAGCAAATGATCGTAAGTCGAGGACTATCTGCAAAAAAAATGTCACTTTTTTGTGTTGTGTTGATCAGTCCTCAAATGATAAATTTACAAAAGGAGACAGCGTTAAGCTTTGACATGGATTCTTATTTAGCTGATAAACCAGAATAGACGTTTATATGTCTCCATCATTCGTGAATGGAAATATACAGATATATATCTTCTTTTTTTTCCCTGATGATAATTACCCCTCTGGGGTATTGTTAACACCTGAGCCTTCATTGAACTATTTAATGCAAGTCAGAAGTTCCAGGTAGGTAAATGCCATGCTGTATTAACGTCAGAAATAATTGCTTTGTCTCATTTTGTCTGGAAAAAATAAATCTTGATTTCTAAAATTGTTTCTTCCAGCCCCAACTTCTTTGATTGTAGCTGAACCAAAAGCACAGGGAGTCCTTGACTTACGACAGTTCATTTAGTGACCATTCAAAGTTACGATGTCACTGAAAAAAGTGACTAATTACTATTACTATTATTTTATTGTTTTAAACATGTTATTAGGTTATAAGATAAGATACAAGTCAAAAGTCAAAAAAATAGGAAAGCAGTGCGGGGGGAAAGGGGGGCGGAAGAGAAGTGAGGAAGGATTTTTAAAAATTATTATTATTATTTTATTGTTTTAAACATTTCATTAGGTTATAAAGTAAGATACAGCAGGTTCTGGAGAACTGGTAGTGGAACTTTTGAGCAGTTCGGAGAACCGGCAAATACCACCTCTGGCTGGCCCCAAAGTGGGGTGGGAATGGGGATTTTGCAGTATCCTTCCCCCAGGAGTGAGGAGGAAATGGGGATTTTGCAGTATCCTTCCCCTGGAGTGGGGTGGGAATGTTGATTTTGCAGTATCCTTCCCCTGGAGTGAGGAGGGAATGGGGATTTTGCAGTATCCTTCCTCTGGAGTGGGGTGGGAATGGGGATTTTGCAGTATCCTTCCCCTGGAGTGGGGTGGGAATGGAGATTTTATGGTATCCTTCCCCTGGAGTGGGGTGGGAATGGAGATTTTGCAGTATCCTTCCCCTGCCACGCCCACCAAGCCACGCCCACAGAACCAGTAGTAAAAAAAATTGGATTTCACAACTGGGCCAAAGTCCCTTAACCAATGTTTCACTCAGTGTCAGAAATGTTGAGCTCAATTGTTGTTATAAGTCGAGGACTTCCTGCATTTAGTACTATTTTTTACAAGATGGGACTATGTTGTTAGGAATAGCTGTACAGGTAGTCCTCAGTTTATGACCTAAAGAACTGAAGATTAAATGGGAAAATGGGGCTTTCTCCCTAAGGATGAGGATATTCACTGCAAATGTGGCCCAGTACTGGGCTAGAGCGATATAAATCTATATTTTATTCAAGCTTTTAAAATTTTAAAGTATTAACTTCATAATTTCCCCTTTCCTAGTTCCTCATTTCTGACACGAGACAGAATTCCCCAGCCAGTATAATTCCAGATGTCTGGACTTCAACTCCAGAATTCCCCAGCTAGTGTTATTCTAGATGGTTGGACTTCAACTCCGGAATTTCTCAGCCAGTGTAATTTAAGATGGGTGGACTTCAACTTCCAGAATCCCTCAAATCAGCATGCTCTCAGATGGGTAGATTTCAACTCCCAGAATTCCCCAGCCAGCATGCTTTCCAGATGGATGGACTTCAACTCCCAGAACTCCCAGCCTGCATGCTTTCCAGATGGTTGAACTTCAACTCCCAGAATTCCTCAGCCAGTGTAATTCCAGATGGGTAGATTTCAACTCCCAGAATCCCTAGCCTGCATACTTTTCAGATGGTTGAACTTCAACTCCCAGAATTCCTCAGCCAGTGTAATTTAAGATGAGTGGACTTCAACTTCCAGAAAAGTCAGCATGCTTTCAGATGGTTGAACTTCAACTCCCAGAATTCCCCAGCCAGTGTAATTTTAAGATGGTTGAACTTCAACTCCCAGAATTCCCCAGCCAGTGTAATTTTAAGATGGTTGAACTTCAACTCCCAGAATTCCCCAGCCAGTGTAATTTTAAGATGCCTGGACTTCAATTCCCAGAATTCCCCAACAAGCATGCTTTTCGGGTGGTTGAACTTCAACTCCCAGAATTCCCCAACAAACATGCTTTTAGATGGATGGACTTCAACTTCCAGAAAAGTCAGCATGCTTTCAGATGGGTAGATTCCAACTCCCAGAATTCCCTAGCCAGCATACTTTTCAGGTGGTTGGACTTCAACTCCAGAATTCCCCAGCCAGTGTAATTTTAAGATGGTTGAACTTCAACTCCCAGAATTCCCCAGCCAGTGTAATTTTAAGATGCCTGGACTTCAATTCCCAGAATTCCCCAACAAGCATGCTTTTCGGGTGGTTGAACTTCAACTCCCAGAATTCCCAACAACATGCTTTTAGATGGATGGACTTCAACTTCCAGAAAAGTCAGCATGCTTTCAGATGGGTAGATTCCAACTCCCAGAATTCCCTAGCAGCATACTTTTCAGGTGGTTGGACTTCAACTTCCCAGAATTCCCCAGCCAGTGTAATTTTAAGATGCCTGGACTTCAACTCCCAGAATTCCCCAACAAGCATGCTTTTCAGATTGATGGACTCCAACTCCCAGAATTCCCCAGCCAGTGTAATTTTAAGATGCCCGGACTTCAACTCCCAGAATCCCCCCCTCCCCAGCATGCTGAACTGAGGAATTCTGGGACTTGAAGTCCACCCCACTTCAGGTTGCCCAGGCTGAGAAAACCCAGCTGCCAAGGAACCGGGCAGGCTAGCGGGTGTGCGCATTCCCACGCTCTTCCTTCCTTCCTTCCTTCTCTCCCCGCCCCCCCCAACCCCTTTGCACGGGCCAATCCCCCCGGGTGGGGGAGGGCGGAGGACCCCCATTCTGGAAAGGGGAAGCAGAAGAAGCAGCCCCGCACCTGCGTCCCCGCCGCTCCCGGCATCCCAGGCTCTGCTTTTCCCACGGCCAGAGGCCCGCAACATCTGCTGCTCGCGGGGAAACTGGAGCGACCTTGCCGGCTTGGCCAATGAACGGCGGAGGTGGAGCTTGGCTGCGATCGCACCGGAGCGGGATCTTCTTTGCAAGCCGGAGATCTGCCTCCCTGGCCGCCTCTGCGGGTCTCTCCGGAACCGGGGGGGACGATGAGCCCGGCGTTGCCAAGCGTCCCCGGGCGAGCTGGGCGCTGGAACCGAGCGAGCGCTGCCAAGAGAGCTGCCGTTTTGCTTGCAGCGGCTTACGGGCTGAAAATCCTCTGGCCGTTGCTTTGCAAGCGGCTGGTGCGGCGGGCGGGTTCGATACAACGGACCGTCCGGGCATCGGAAGATGCTGCAAAGCGAATGGAGGTGGAGGAGAAAGAAGCATCCGGATCGTTGCAAGGGCCCGGCTCGGCTGTAAGCAGCAAAGCCTCGCCGGCAGCCAATGCGCAGTTCCTCCGGCAGCTCTTGGCTCTGCGCAAGATCTTCTTCCCGAGGCTGGTCAGCCCGGAAAGCGGTTGGCTTTGCCTTCATTCGGTGGCTCTGGTCTCCAGGACCTTCCTCTCCATCTATGTGGCGAGGCTGGATGGTCAGATCGTGAAGAGCATCGTGGAGAAGCGTCCGCGCAGCTTCGCTTGCAAGTTGCTCAAGTGGCTGCTGGTGGCCATCCCGGCCACCTTCGTCAACAGCGCCATCCGTTACCTGGAATGCAAGCTGGCTCTGGCTTGCCGCACCCGCCTGGTGGATCACGCCTACCTGACCTACTTCGACCACCAGACTTACTACAAGGTGACCAACATGGACGGCAGGTTGGCCAACCCCGACCAGTCGCTGACCGAGGACATCATGATGTTCTCCCAGTCGGTGGCTCACCTCTACTCCAACTTGACCAAGCCCATCCTGGATGTGGGGCTCACCTCCTACACCCTCATCCGGACGGCCCAAGCTAGGGGGGCCAGTCCCGTGGGACCCACGCTGCTGGCCGGCTTGGTGGTCTACACCACGGCCAAAGTGCTGAGAGCCTGCTCCCCCAAATTTGGAAAGCTGGTGGCGGAGGAGGCCCACCGGAAGGGCTACCTGCGCTACCTCCACTCGCGGATCATTGCCAACGGGGAAGAGATCGCCTTCTATAGAGGGCACAAGGTAAGAGGACGGAAGAGGGATGGACGGAGAGAAAGAGAGGGACCTAAGGCAGGGGGTGGGTTCTACTTACCTTTACTACCGGTTCGCAACGGGATCGCACGCTTCTCCACATGTGCAGATCGCCGATGACGACATCTGGGATGGTGGGCGGGGCTTCCCGCCAGTTTTTTACTACTGGTTCTTACGAACCGGTCTGAACCGGGGGCAACCCACCACTGACCTAAGGTGGTTTTGTTGCTGCTGCTGTAGTTGGTAGGTTTTTTCCCAGGAACATCTGGAACATCTGCTGGAGTGATGCGGTGGCCTAGAGGTGGAGGTGGAGCTCTCGCCTCACCATCAGGAGGCTGTGAGTTCGATCCTAGGTAGAGGCTGATATTTCTCTCTCTGGGCACGATGAGAATATATCTGCTGAACAAAACTCCGCATTGGCAACAGGAAGGGCATCTGGCCAGTAAAACACTCAGCTCCTTTCAGTTGCCCTGACTCCACCCCGCAAGGGATTATGGGGTCGTTAAACGAAGGTGATGATCTGGAACATCTGCTCAGGGCAAAAAAAAAACCCCCAAAACCCCACCCCACTGAATTAATGTGGTATCCAAGACCTAAAGCAATGCTATAAACTTGGCAATTTTCAAGATGTATGGCTATGGAGATTCTCAGTCATGGTTGACCCAAAGGTGCTTTTTCAAGAGGACTTTCTGGCAACATTTCAAAGAAAAACCAGAAAGTCCAGTTGCCTCTTGAAAAAGCACCTTTGGGACTTTCAAGATGTATGGACTTCCACTCCCAGAATTCCTCAGTCCAGCGTGTTGAAGGGCGCACAACTTAAAAGTTGCCAAGTTTGAGAAACGCTGATCTAGAGATTGCCAAATTGGCTCTTTTCTCTCTGCTTGGTTAGCAATATTAATTGTGTGGGTTTTTTTTTTTAAAATTCCTAGCAGAGCTCTTCGGAAGAGGGCAGGAGAAAGCAATCGTAGGTTAGAATTTGTTAGGTAAACCCTTCCCCACCCCCCCAAAATACTGTAAAGTATTTTCTTTACAGAAATTAAATTTACTAGCAGGATATCTGTTCTCTCAGCAGTTTATTTATTTATTGGTTCGATTTATATGCCGCCCTTCTCCAGACACTCAGGGTGGCTTACAATGCGTTAAGCAATATTTATTTATTTATTTATTTATTGGTTCAATTTATATGCCGCCTTTCTCTGGAGACTCAGGGTGGCTTACAATGCGTTAAGCAATATTTATTTATTTATTTGTTTATTTATTTATTTATTTATTGGTTCGATTTATATACCGCTCTTCTCCGGTGACTCGGGGCGGCTTACAATGCGTTAAGCAATAGCCTTCATACTTTTGTATATACCTGCTTAGTAGGGCTTTCGGGCCCCCCCTCCCCAAGCGGTGTTCTTTTTTATACAAAGTCAGCTTATTGCCCCCACAATCCGGGTCCTCATTTTATCTACCTCGAAAGGATGGAAGACTTGAGTCAACCTTGAGCCTGGTGAGATTTGAACTTGCAGTAATTGCAGGCAGCTGGTGTTACTTAACAGCACTTTAGTCTGCTGCGCCACTAAGGCTCTTCAAGCTGTGGCTATAAAGCAGCTGTGTGGACTTTGAGTGAAGAATGTACTCTAATCTGTTATCTTCCTGTGGGTTCCCTACTAATTATTCTTCCTCTACCCATCTCTGTAATTTGCACATTAATCTTCTAATGTAGACATTTAGTTGATTACAGAGGCCCTTTAAATACTCTCCCAACCAGTCTGTTGTAATCCTGTACCTTTTCATTTCAGGATAAACACTTCACTGAGCTGACTGCAGTGAGAATTTTTTTTAAATGCAATAATATTTTATGTCATGTGATTTTTAAACAGGGAAATTCTATCATTTAGAAAGTTTAAAGTATTGAAAATAAGAGGAAAGCAGTAAAAATTCTATCAATACTGGACATCACTAATGCAAGCATAGCATTATTTAACCTTATCCAATTATTGTAACATTAAAAAAGCCGCTGCATAGCATATCAAAACAGTAGCTATGTGACAATACTTTCAGTCTGAAACGAAATACTTAGCATTAAGATCTCCATTGTATTATTAGGTAGCATATATAATTTTTGTGATTATATAATATGATGATGAAATAAAAGATAGACGAAGCAAATTTAACAAAAGTAAAATACCTTATCCTACATTTTGAAAGTATTCCTTCCACCCCTAAAAATAATGTGTTTATTTGCTATTATTCTTATAAAATGCTCATTAAGAGTAATGGATTTCAAATCCCTTAGGATTATAATATGTATTTTTTAAAATGTTTTTTTTATTTTTTTTACAAACAAATCAAATCAATGCGTGAAGAGTGTGGCACCTGAATGTCATACATTCTAATACAAATAAAACTAGTAAAGTTAATCATAGTTATTACATTCAGTCAACTTATATATTTCTAATAATGATACACAATTATAGCAAGTTGCAATCTGTCATTGTTCAATTATTCTGTGTTTTCTCTTATTGTTACTTTATTTTATTATATAAAAGCGTCTACACTAACCTTCCCACTTCTCTTATTTCTATCACTTATTCTAACTTTTGGTCATATCACTTTTTACATTTTCTTTCTATCCTACCTAACTTCTAATCGTGTCACCTACCTAAAAAAAAAAAGGAAAGAAAAAAAAAAAAGACGAGAGAAAAGGAAAAGCAAATCAGAACAACTACAAAAAAAGAGCTCATCTATCCATCGTCTCTTGCCCGCTTCAATACTTTAGTTGCTATACTTTTTATAGTTTGCCTCCCACCTTCTTCTCTGGAATCTTTATCTCTATCTGCAACTGCTTCTTGACTATCATAATATGTATTGATACCTAGAATGTCTGGATCAGATATCAAGTTTATTTATTTATTTATTTATTTGATTTGATTTCTGTACCGCCCTACTCCCGAAGGACTCAGGGCAGTGCACAGCCAAACAATAAAACACATACATACAAAATTTAAAAGTAGAATTAAAATCAAATTAAATAGTTTTGGCCCAGACAAATTAAAACCCCAAACTATTTAAAACCAATTTTAAAATTTGAATATATAAAATACTAAAAGATATTAAAAAATTAAAAATCTTTTATAAAAGAGGGAGAAAATTAGGCCAGGCCCACCTGGTGAAATAATAAGGTCTTTAGAGCTTATTACCTAAAGCTGCTTTTTTTTCCAAGAGGCAACTGGACTTTATGGTTTTTCTTTGAAGAAGTTTAGTTTCTCATCAGTGGTGGGATTCAAACTTTTTTACTACCGGTTCTGTGGGTGTGGCTTGGTGGGCGTGGCTTGGTGGGCGTGGCAGGGGAAGGTTACTGCAAAATCCCCATTTCCTCCCAATCAGCTAGGACTCGGGAAGCACAGAATAGATGGGGACAGGGCCAGTCAGAGGTGGTATTTACCGGTTCTCCAAACTACTCAAAATTTCCGCTACCGGTTCTTCAGAACTGGTCAGAACCTGCTGAAACCCACCTCTGCTTCTCATCCAAGAAGTTTCTTCATCTCATAGAGCTGGTGGCACAGTGGACTAAGTGCTATTAAAGTAGCACTTAGCTGCCAGCTGCCTGCAATTACTGCAAGTTCAAATCTCACCAGGCTCAAGGTTGACTCAGCCTTCCATCCTTTCGAGGTAGGTAAAATGAGGGCCCGGATTGTGGGGGCAATAAGCTTAGGGGGGGCCGAAAGCCCTACTAAGCAGGTATATACAAAAGTATGAAGGCTATTGCTTAACGCATTGTAAGCCGCCCTGAGTCTCCGGAGAAGGGCAGCATATAAATCGAACTAAGAAAGAAAGAAAGAAAGAAAGAAAGAAAGAAAGAAAGAAAGAAAGAAAGAAAGAAAGAAAGAAAGAAAGAGAAAGAAACCAACCATGATTTGGATGACCGAGAATCTCCATAGACATCAGATATCAAGGTGTCTTAGTTTCAAATGGAAAAAAATCTATTGGCGCATAAAAATCGCAGTGCTAGATTTTAGAGCTGGCTTTGTGAGTGATGCACTTCTTGTATGAAGCTCCTTCCAAGATGGGATGTCTTTTAAGTTAAGATCCACACTTTTTAGTTGATTCAGCTGTTTGGAAATCGACCATAAAAAGCCTCTTCCTTGCAGTCTTAGAAGGAAGAGTCACTATTCCACACCAAAGGATGAAATATCATCGCACAAATACAGTAGTGGCCAAAATTGTGGAAAACTTTTGGGAAAAGCGTATTTTCTAAAACTAGCAAACAACACCACTTTTTTGGGGTGTAGTACCATAACATTATATATCAATGGAAAGATAATTGAATCAAGAATGTAATGCAATAACTTTGATGAAGGATTTGCTATTAGAATAGCAGATACAGCATAAAGAAGAAAAGTGAAACAGGTAGGAAAAAACGAAATATACAAAAATGATCCCCATGTCAGTTAATACTTCGTTGGGTAACCTTTAGCATGAATGACGGCCTTACAACGTCTTCCCATGGAGTCAACCAAGTCTTTGAGTTCTGCAGCTGTTCTAATGGGAAACCAAGATTGAATGATGGCTTCTATTAACTGGGTTTTATTGCTGGGTCGCTTCTGACTAACAAGTTTCTTTAGTCGGCTCCCTAGATTTTCAATTGGGTGAAGGTCTGGTCTATTCCCAGGCCATTCCAGCAGTGGAATAGGATTATCTTGAAACTCCAAAAAAAAAAGTTGGTGTTATTAGCCATCAAACTTCAAAAATATACTTTTCCCAAAAAGGTTTCCACAATTTTGGCCATTACTTTATAAACACATAAAAAAACACGTACAGGTAATCCTCGACTCACAACCACATTTGAGCTCCAAATTTCTGCTGCTAAGTGAAACCCTTGCTAAGTGAATTTTTCTCTTCGTTTTACGACCTTCCTTGCCACAGCTGCTAAACGAATCACTGCCGTTGTTGAGTTAGTCACACGGTTGTTAAGTGAATCGGGCCTCCCCCGTCGACTTTGCTTGGGAGAAGGCCGCAAAAAGGGGGATCATGTGACCCCCTTGCAGCCGTCATAAATACGAGTCGATTGCCAAGCGTCTGACTTTGGATCGCATGCCGCAGCGGTCGTAAGTGTGAGAAACGGTCCTGGGTCCCTTTTTTCGGTGCCGTTGTAACTTTGAGCGGTCCCTAAATGAACTGTTGTAAGTCGAGGACTACCTGCAAGGGCACGTCCGATCAATTTTTTTACGGGGTGTCCTGACAGATGACGTTCTTGTAGAATTTGGATGATTTATTTTTGTTTAAATTTGCAGGTGGAAATGTCCCAACTTCAGAAAAGTTACAAAGCTCTGGAAGAGCAAATGAACATCATTTTGTCCAAGCGCTTATGGTACATCATGCTTGAGCAGTTCCTGATGAAATACGTCTGGAGTAGCAGCGGGTTGATTATGGTAGCGGTTCCCATCATCACGGCAACAGCATTTGCGGACGGTGGTAAAAACGCTTGGGTTTGAATTTTTGTGAAACTGGGAAGAAAAGGCATAAAAGAAAGAGATCTCTTCTCTTTCTAGGCCATTAACAGGTAATCCTCGACTTACGACCACAACGGAGCCCAAAATTTCCGTTGTTGAGTGAGACACACGTGCTAAGTGAGTTTCTCCCCATGTTACGAACTTTCTTTGCCTCAGTTGCTAAGTGAATCGCTGCAGCTGATAAGTCAGTAACTGGGCCCCTCAGTGAATCCGGCTCCCCCGTTGACTTTGCTCGTCCGAAGGTCGCAAAAAAGGGATCACGTAATATTGGGACGCAACCAGGGTGGATAAAAATCAATGATTTTTTTTAAAAAATCAAAAAAATCAGATTTTTAAAATTTAAATCGGATTTTTTTATTTAAATCGGATTTTTTTGATTTTTATCGAATTTATTTTAATAAAAAACTTGGGGTAAAAATCTATCGTAAGATAGTTTTCTATTTAAGATACATAAATAATTTAGTTTATTCAGCATGAAATGGAGCTTAGTTATGTAGCATGAGGCTGTATATTCTGCAACACTGGGACCATCGGTGAGTCAACAATGGGTCAAAGGAGTAGCAGAGATGACAGTTGCTCTTTAAAAATTAAGATTTAAATCGAGTTGATTTAAATCAAGCCTTTTTATTAGTGATTTAAATCATGATTTAAATTGTGATTTAAATCAACTCGATTTAAATCAAATCCACCCTGGACACAACAACGGTCATAAGTGTGAACCAGTTGCCAAGCGTCCAAATTTTGATCACATGACCAACAGGGACGGTTGCAAGTGTAAAATAAATGATCATAAGTCACTTTTTTCCCAGTGCTGTTGTAACTTCGAACGGCCACTAAATGAACTGTTGTAAGTCGAGGACTACCTGTAGTTACTATGCCCATAAATTTAATACTACTGCTGTGTAAACGAGTTGAGTTTTAAACCAGTGATGATTATTATTACCTGATATCTTGGTAAGAGTGAAGGATCATTATTGTTTACTGTAAGATTAATTCATGTCCCTCGCCTAACTTCCCTGTTGACTGTGAACAAGACCAGGAAGTCAAAAAAAATCTGAGAAATAAAAATATGGCAAATCACACTGACATTAGAAGTACCTTGCTATTTTTAACCTAGTATTTCTTTTTTTAAAAAAAAATCCCAACTTTTCCTTTTTTTGGATTAGGATGATATGTATTGAGTATCCCATTCAATTACATCTGATTGTGCATAGCTGTTTTTCACTAAACTGGACAGGTGATATAATCCATTGTGAAAATAAGAGATGGGACATTCATTCAATTCATAGATAATAACCATGATAATAACCATGGTGACACACTGGTTAAAATGCAGTACAGTATTGCAGGCAAACACCGCCTGCAGTTCGATTCTGACCAGCTCGAGGTTGACTCAGCCTTCCGCCCTTCCGAGGTCAGTAAAATGAGGACCCAGATTGGTGCGGGCAAAAGGCTGACTGTATATCGCTTAGAGAGGGCTATAAAACACTGTGAAGCGGTATATCAGTCTAAGGGCTATTGCTATATAAACTGCCTTTAACACCAGGCCAACATCAAGATCTTCCCTGAATGCCCACAAACCCAGATGCAACCAGTTAGTACATCCAGATGTTCCCTGAAGCATGCATTTCATGACTTTCTATTTTCACCTGGCATTGGCATCCTTCGGTCTCAAGAGACGATGGTATCGTGCTCTGGAAAGAGGTCCTAAAACAGCATCTGGTGTGACTAAAAAGGCCAATTCGAGAGTGGCCATCCCTTCCACACTGAGGGCAGATACATTCGGTCCCCTGCCCACCCCCCAAATTTCGCTGGTTCCGGGCTGCCTCTTTGCCTCAGCCTGCCGAACAAGTGTCTTCTCAAATTGGAGAAGGCCATGCTGCGTCTTTAGCCTCCAAGCTAAAGTTTCCCAGTTGCTAATGTCCATTCCCAGGGCCTTTAGGTCCCTCTTGCAGATATCCTTATATCGCAGCTGTGGTCTCCCTCTGAGGCGCTTTCCCTGCACTAATTCTCCATACAGGAGATCTTTCGGACTCCGACCATCAGCCATTCTCACGACATGCCCCAGCCAGCGTAGACGTCGCTGTTTCAATAGGGTATACATGCTAGAGATTCCAGCACGTTCCAAGGCTGCGCTATTTGGAACTTTGTCCTGCCAGGTGATGCCAAGAATTTGTCGGAGACGGCACGTATGAAAGGTGTTCAACTTTCTCTCCTGACATGCGTAAAGTGTCCATTTTCACCTGGACCTCATGGAGAAATGACCCAAACATTCCCCTGCTGTCAGCATCAAGGAAGCCAAAACCCAACCCTAGGTCCAGAAAATTCTTCTGAAGGATTGTGCCATGAATTTTCCCCAGAATAAAAAAAATGGAGAGCCCACCTCACTGTCAGAAGCCCCCTAAACATGAAAAGCCACCTTGAATCGAATCATCATCATTATCATCATTTTTTAACGACGCCATAATCCCTTGCGGGGTGGAGTCTGGGCAACTGAACGGAGCTAGCGGAGCATTTTAATGGCCGGATGCCCTTCCTGTCACCAATGCGGAGTTTTGTTCAGCAGATATATTCTCATTGTGCCCAGAGAGAGAACTATCTGCCTCTACCTAGGATCGTGATGGTGAACCTATGGCATATCGGTGGGCACGTGAGGTCAGCTGATTTTCGGGCCTTCTGGACCCATCGGAAGTAGGGACACAGGCTGTTTCCTGCCTCTGGAGGGCCTCAGGGAGGTGGGGAAGGCCCGTTTTTCACTCTCCCCAGGCTCCACAGCCTTTCTAGGAGCCTGGGGAGGGCGAAAACAGCCTTTCCCACCTCCACCCCCCGGAGGCCCTCTGGAGGCAGGAAACGGCCCGTTTGCCAACTTTCGGTGGGACCTAAAGCCTCTGGAGCCTGGGCCTACCAGGCCCACTGTGCCATCGCGTGCCAAAAGCGGGGGGAGCACAGAGGGGAGCATGCAGCGGGCAGGGCGCATAGAATTATGGGTGTGGGCACACGCGAGCGCGACCCCACCATGCTCCCGCTTTTGGCACACGATGGCAAAAAGGTTAGCCATCCCTGATTTAGGATTGAACTCACAGCCTCCTGATTGTGAGGCAAGAGCGCCACCTCTAGGCCAGCGCACCACTTCTCACCTTGAATCGAACTATAATAGTCATTTTTCAACCAGGCTTCGTAGGAATCTAACCTTAACTGTAGGTGCAGATCTCCACATAAAATGTAAACTTAATTAACCTGTTTGAATCTTAATTCTAGGCTCATCCTCTTATTCATGTCAATATTTTTCTGTCCTCAAAATACTAGAAATGTCTTAATAATTATAAAAGAAATTCTGAAGAGCCAGAGTCTACTCCCAGACATGTTTTTTTCTTCTATTGTATTAGAATATTTCCAAGAAAACACGGAAAATATTGCTTCCGAAGGAAGGCGAATATACGTGTCCCAGGATAATGTTGCAGGATCCAATTGCTTCCATTGACTGTTTCTCTCTTCGATAGATTTGGACAATGGCCAGAAACAAGCCATGGTCAGCGAGCGAACGGAAACCTTCACTACCTCACGAAATTTATTAGTTTCTGGAGCAGATGCCATTGAACGGATTATGTCTTCCTACAAAGAGGTACTCCATTATCTTAGTCTGGATTAGCAGAAATATATTGTAAACATCATAAGACACTCCTAAATATAAAGTTTGTATGCTGGGCAACTGTTTTAAATTTATATGAAAATGAAAACCGAACAAAGTTTAAATTACGTTGTCAATCTTCTTCTTTTAACAACCCCATAATCCCTTGCAAGGTGGAGTTCGTTTACTGGCCGGATGCCTTTCCTGTCACCAGTGCGGAGTTTTGTTCAGCAGATACATTCTCAGTGTGCCCAGAGAGAGAAATATCTGCCTTTACCTAGGATTGAACTCACAGCCTCCTGATTGTGAAGCGAGAGCTCCACCTCTAGGCCACCACACTACTCCTAAATTATGCTGTCAATGCTTGGATGCATTCTAGAGTTAAATTCGGGGGAAAATAAAAGTCTTTTTAGGATCCTCTGATGTGACTAGTTTGGATACTAGTGGCTCCTATATAGCTATAAAGCAAGGATAAATAATGTGAAGCTAATAGAAATCAGAGAGTCCCAAGAAGAGGCAGTCCTCGACTTAAGACCACAATTGAGCACAACATTTCTGTTGCTAAGCAAGACAATTGTTGAGTCCCATTTTATGACCTTTCTGGCCACAGCCGTTAAGCAAAACCCTGCAGTTGTTAAGCCAGTAACACGGTTATTAACTGAATCTAGCTTTTCTTGTGAGGCTTGGCACTGACGGTTGCAGTGTCCCCAGGGTCATGTGATCAGCTTTTGCAACCCGACAAACAAAGTCAATGAGGAATGTAGGCTCACTTAACAACTGTGTTACTAAGTGAACAACTGCGGCATTCACTTAACAACCATGGCAGGAAAGATTTTAAAACGGGACATAACCAGTGGTGGATTCAGCCGGTTCGGGTTGGTTTGGGCCGGTTCGGATGAATTGGTAGTTAAATTTCTGGCTGGCCCCGACACTTCCAGGAGTCCCCACGTGCCCCATTTTGGCTCCCAGGTAAATGCAGGGAGGCCTACTAGGCCCAAAATGGGGTACACGGGGGAGCGGCGCCCCCCCCCCCGGTGGCCCATTTTTGCTCCCAGGGGGATACAGGAGGCTGAGCGCTGCCTGTCACACCCCCTGGCCACGCCCATCATGGCCACGCCCACCCAGTCATTAGGGCAGAGAACCAGTTGTTAAATTATTTGAATCCCACCCCTGGACATAACTCACAACCAACATTTCACTTAGCAACGGAAATTTGGGGCTCCGTTGGGGTTCTAAGTCGAGGACCGCCTGGATTTCAAAGGATTTGAAAGTCGGCAGAAAAAGTTGCAGGTTGTAAGAAGAATTGAAAAAGGATTTTAAAAAAAAATGGCTCCTTAAACTTTCAAAGCTGATCACCAGACATTGGCTGACCTCGCTTCCTCTTTCTAAGGTCAGTTTGCCAAAGGGAAAACGGTCAGTCTTCATTGGAGATGATTTATGGGAGCCTGATCCCTTCCGAAGAAATGGTGCTATTTTCTGCAGAAAGCCAGGCCTGTGCGCACTCAAGCTAGATAGCAAGGTTCACCGATCACTTATGGTGCTCTTCATTCAATTGAAGCCGGGTGCCACAGCATCGGGATTAAGTGGAGATAAGCCAGTCCAATTGTTCAGATGGCCAATCTCCAGGTTTTCCGGGTGCATTTTTGTGCAGTATTTGCAAAATGAGAACAGGCACGGCAAAACTTTCTCAAACGTTTTTGGAATTGTGGTGCGTCCAGTGATCAGTTAGGATAAATATAATGACCACTCAATTAAACAAACAATATTTTCTTAATTTCCTGTAGGAGCATGAACATTTACATTTTTACAATTGGGTCTCTCTCTCTCTCCCCCCCCCTCCCTCCCCCCCCCCCCCATTCCATTCCATTCCATGGAAGCTCACTAGTTAACCTTTGGCCAATCACTGTCTATGGGAGCTATATGCATGCCACCTTGAGCTTCTGAACAACAGGCAGGATTTTGAATGAAAGAATGGAATGGAATAGAATATATGGAACGGAATGGAACCAAGCAGCAAATACGGAATGGAATGGAATGGAATGGAATGGAATGGAATGGAATGGAATGGAATAGAATAGAATAGAATAGAATAGAATAGAATAGAATAGAATAGAAGAATAGAATAGAATCGAATAGCATGGAAAGAATAGAATAGAATAGAATAGAATAGAATAGAATAGAATCGAATCGAATCGAATAGAATAGATGGCATGGCATGGCATGGCATGGCATGGCATGGCATAGCATCGCATAGAATAGACTAGACTAGACTAGACTAGACTAGACTAGTAGAATAGAATAGAAAAAATGGTATAGCATAGCATAGCATAGCATAGAATGGAAAGAATAGAATAGAATAGAATAGAATAGAATAGATGGCATGGCATGGCATGGAATGGCATGGCATAGCATAGCATAGCATAGAATAGAATAGAATAGAATAGAATAGAATAGATGGCATGGCATAGAATAGCATAGCATAGCATAGCATAGAATAGAATAGAATAGAATAGAATAGAATAGAATGCAGAGTAGAATGCAGAATAGAATAGAGTAGAATAGAATAGAATAGAACAGAACAGAACAGAACAGAACAGAACAGAACAGAATAGAATAGAATAGAATAGAATGCAGAGTAGAATAGAATAGAATAGAATAGAATTCTTTATTGGTCAAGTGTATTTGGACACACAAGGAATTTATCTTCGGTTCATAAACTCTCATTGTACATCAAAGCTATAAGTGATAAATCATGATCATGGTCATCATAAAAATACATTCATCTTAAATCATAAGATACAACACTTCAGTGGAGTAATTTCATCAGATCCTCCGGCTCAGAAATCCGCTGCTGCCGTTTCAAGGAATCCTACGATTGGAGAGAAAGGCTGAAGATTATTTGTCTGCAAGCAGAATTTATTACCCTCTCGAGACTAGCAATCAATCCTGATAGAAAGGGAATTCTTAGGATATAATTAGATCCAAAACGTTCTCCTACGTTTCCTGTTCCTTTCTTGCTTTTCCCTACAGCCAATTAAGCTCCACATTTCTTTGTAAAGCCAGAGTTTAACTGCTACATGTCTGCGGCCAAAGAAAGTGTGTGAATAAAAAGGTAAAAAAGGTCTACCAATTCAGCCATCTAACTAATGGAAATATTGTTCCATAGGTTGCTTTAGTTTGAAACTTGGGATTTTGCGACCTTCTTTTGTGAACAGAAAAATATCTGATGATGTATCAGGACGGGATTCAGCGATCTCGTTCTTCCTCAAAAACCAGATTACAAAATGTAAATTCAACATAAGCCTTTGCGATCATGAGCACAGCCTTCTTTTCGGCGCTCAAATCCGTCCCACTTATCGTTATGGCTTTGAATTGTGATCGTTGTGTTGTTTTGCAGGTGGCAGAATTAGCCGGCTACACTGCCCGTGTTTACAACATGTTTTCAGTCTTCGATGAAGTAAAGAGAGGCATTTACAAAATGTCAGACCTTACTCCAGAACGGGAAAGCAGCAACAAGAAAAGGAATAAAGCCAAACAATGCATTAATGGCCCCTTAGAAATCAAAGGTAATCAATGCATTTCTGCTTTCTTGATTTCTTTTTAATATTTCACACCTGGGTACAGTACAACACCGATATGGTGGAACAGCTTTATATCATCTTAAATATGTGTGGGATTTTTTTTTTACTAGCTTTGTGCTGCTTTTATGATTTATTAAGGGATAATTGATAAATTCTATGTCACTGGCAGTGGATCCAACAGGAAAGGATTAATTAATGCCACCACTACTAGCCAGTAAAATTGGCAAAATTAACAGGCAAAGTTCTTTAGTCTAATGTGACTTTGCTTTAAATAGGATCCGAGCCAGAAAGGTACAGTAGTGGCCAAAATTGTGGAAACCTTTTGGGAAAAGTGTATTTTTGAGGTTTCATGGCTAATAACACCACTTTTTTGGGGGGAGTTTCAAGAGAATCCTATTCCACTGCTGGAATGGCCTGGGAATAGCCCAGGTCTTAATGTCAGGAAATTTCTCCTTTTGTTCTAGGTTGCTTCTCTCCTTGATTAGTTTCCACCCATTGCTTCTTGTTCTACCCTCAGGTTCTTTGGAGAATAGCTTGACTCCCTCTTCTTTGTAGCAACCCCTGAGATATTGGAACACTGCTATCATGTCTCCCCTAGTCCTTCTTTTCATATTACATGAAATGTAATATTCTTAGCATGATCTTGTTAATGCCTAATTGCATATTCATTGAGCGTGTTTTTTACATTATAATGAGGCATAATGAGTAAATAGCAATTGAATGGGGCTTTGATACTGGGCTTTGATAGATAGAAATTAGAGAGAGCAACTGTTAGGCTAATTTTGGGCAACATTGAACAAGGTAGAGTAAAGGTCTTTTCATCCAACACCATTAAAATAAATGAATGAACAAATGAATGGCTAAAACTTATGAAGAATGGTTGCAGGAATAGAGTATGTCTGGTTTAATGAAAAGGACAAGGGGTGACATGATCGTAGTCTTCCAATATTTGAGGGGCTGCCCCAAAGAAGAGGAAGTCAATCTATTCTCTAAAGCACCTGAGGATAGGACAAGAAGCCATGGATGGAAACTAATCAAGGAGAGAAGCAACTTAGAACTAGGGAGAAATTTCCTGGCAGTGAGGTCTGTGCTTCAATGCTAGCTACCTGCCTCTAATACAATCCCTGGGCTTTGAGAGTATGAAGATGAAGTCAAGATATACTTTTAAGTGAAAAGTCAAAAGGAAGCAGGCTGTTTGGATGATTCAAATAAACATCCATGCAGACTTTCCCTTACCCAGTGGATATGTTGAGCTACCATCCATTTGAATACACGATGGCCACTTAAAAGCATAACGATCGATGTCAAACAGCAATTTGCAGGATCATCAATATGCTTCATGCCGAGGTATTTGCAGGGCAGGAAGAGAGAAGAGGAGGAAGAATGGAAATGACAAATATAAAAAATAAATAAAAATAAAACCGCTGTGCTGTTGTGATGCAAATTTAGCCTCCTTTTGTACATTCATTGTTGTATCCTACGCACAACTCAATATTTCTGTTCCTAAGCAAGGCAGTTAATGTGTGATACCCCGTGTGCATAGGTTGTGAGTTATGCACGGCTGGCTGGGGAGTTCTGAGAGTTGAAGTCCACAGGTCTTAAAGTTGTCAAAATTGGAAACCTTGCCCTAGGGTGAGTAGTTGGGCTTTGGAAATCATGAGATAGATAGATAGATAGATAGATAGATAGATAGATAGATAGATAGATAGATAGATGATAGACAGACAGACAGACAGACAGACAAACATACTGTAGACATAGATATAGATTAGTAAGGGACACGGGAGCTCAGTGGCTAAGACACTGAGCTTGTCAACCAAAAGATCAGCAGTTCAGCGGTTTGAATCCCTAGTACCACGTAACGGAGTGAGCTCCCATAACTTGTCCCAGCTTCTGCCAACCTAGCAGTTCGAAAGCAGGTAAAAAATGCAAGTAGAAAAATAGGGACCACCTTTGGTGGGAAGGGAACAGCGTTCCGTGCGCCTTTGGCATTGAGTCATGCCGGCCACATGACCACGGAGACGTCTTCGGACAGAGCTGGCTCTTCAGCTTTGAAACGGAGATGAGCACCGCTCCTAGCACATATGTGCGAGGGGAACTTTTACCTATAGATTAGTATGTAGGAGCATGAACGCAGCCTAGTCTCTGATGTTTTAAAGAAGCTGTGTCTTTTTCCCAGGTTTATACCACTGGCTTTTGAAGTCCTACATGATGCTAGGAAAAGATTTGGCTGCCTGAAGACGTTCTAGAAGGGGCCATTTTGGACTGGTTATCTATTGCTTCAGAATATATTTGCTTATATTCTGAAGCACATGCTTCAAATTGAATAGGGAGTATTGTGTAGCCTTATCAAGAATCAATTCTTTAAGCGTTGAGTAAAACATAACACAAATTTAACAGATTTGTAGTGATTATGCGCCATCTAAGATTGAACAGCCTGGCGGCCTAGAAGTGACGCTCTCGCCTCACAATCCAAGGGCTGTGAGTTCTATCCTAGGTAGCGACAGATATTTCTCTCTCTGGGTGCAACGTGTTATAATTGTCTGCTGTGAACACGGCATAGGCGTCAGGAAGGGCATCGGTCCAGTAAACGCTCAGCTCCATTCAGCCACCCCAACTCTACCCCGATGCAAGGGATTACAAGGTCTTTAAAAGAAAAAGAAAAATTCTCGGTCTATGATTTATTTATTTATTTATTTGTTTGTTTGTTTTAATTGGTATACCGCCCTTCTCCAGCAGGACTCAGGGCGGTGAACAGCCAGAATAAAACAGAACATACAAAATTTAAAAACGGTTTAAAAATAATTAAATATTTTTGGCCACAATTTAAAACAACCCAATTAAAATCAATTAAATTTAACCAAAAACTGTGGGATCAAGCCAGCCCGGTGTAAATTCTTAACGTAATGGAAGACTAAGAAACAAAGTCCAATCTCTTTCCTAATCCCATCTAGAATTTAGGAAAGCGTTTTCATGTGAAAGAGCCTTGGTAGTACAGTGGTCTAAGGCACCCTGTTATTAAACTGGTTATTAAGACCAGCTGCCTGCAATTACTGCAGGTTCGAATCTCGCCAAGGCTCAAGGTTGACTCAGCCTTCCATCCTTTCTAAGGTAGGTAAATTGAGGACCCAGTTTGTGGGGGCAATAAGCTGACTTTGTATAAATATACAAAAGGATGAAGGCTATTGCTTAACGCATTGTAAGCCGCCCTGAGTCTCTGGAGAAGGGTGGCATATAAATCAAATTTAAAAAAAAAACGAAAAACTCACCAGGCAACAAAGGTCTGTTTGCAAAACAGCCTTTCAGAAACCAATAATTTTCTCTGTGTGTTTGTGTGTCTGCTTGCTCTAATTAACACACCTTGTGCTTTTTGTCTTTTTTTTTTTTTTTTACTTATAGGAAAAGTAATAGATATTGATCATGGGATTATCTGTGAAAATGTCCCTATAATTACCCCCAATGGAGATGTGGTGGTTTCCAAGCTAAACTTCAAAGTAAGATGCTATGCAGGAATCTTCTGATTGTTGTCATCACATTTAGCACAAAACGAGCACAGAGTTCATGTACCATATGTTAAATACTTGGACAAGCATATGGAAAATGGGGAGATCAAGCAAGGTAGGCATAGCAGCTGGACGGCAGAGGCAGAAATGTGTACAGGTAGTCCTCGAGTTACGACCCCCGAAAGTTTAGGTTGCTAAATGAAACATTGGTTGAGTTGAGTTTTGCCCCGTTTTACGGCTTTTCTTGCCACGTTTCTCGTTAAGTGAATCGTCGCCTTTGTTAAATTAGTAACATGGTTGTTAGGCGAATCCGGGTTCCCCCTTGACTTGTCAGAGTGCCACAAAAGGGGATCACGTGACACACACACCCCCCCGGGACACGCGCCTGTTTTTTTTTTTAAAAAAAAAAAATGGATTTGTTTGCAAGTAAAATAGGAAGCAATAACAAGATGCAGACTGTAATGCACAGTCCTGCATCTTAATTTATGTTTCGACAGGCAAGAATAGCTTAGAGGTTGATATTTATGTATAAGCTGATATCCATAACTGATGTCGAAGTAGAATTGGGTACCATTAGGGATGCATTGCAGACGATTACCGTATTTTCCGGAGTATAAGATGCACCTTTTTCCCCCCTAAAAGGGGGTGAAAATTTAGGTGCGTCTTATACACCGAATGTAGCCCCGCCCACCCACTGGCCCCCACCCTTTGGCCTCTGCCTCCCAGCAGTTTACCTCTTTGCAGCGAGAAGAAACAGCTCGTTTCAGCTTCAGCATAGCCTAATTAGCACAAGTTGATTGGATCAGCCTCCCGACTCTCAGCTGTTTTGCGGGAGCCTCTGCTGCTTGCTGCAAGGAGGTAAATTCCTGGAAGCAGATTTTTTTTTCTTATGCTAATCAAGCTATGCTGAAAACGAAAACGAAAGTAAAGCAGGCTGTTTGCTGCAAAGAGGCAAAATTGCTGGGAGGCAGAGACAAAGGCAGATTTCTTTTTCTTGTTTTCCTCCCCAAAAAAGATAGGTGCGTCTTATAGTCCGGAGCGTCTTATACTCCGAAAAATACGGTAACTATTGACAAGTTTTGTGAAAGTTATGATTGGAAAGAATTCGTGGCTTCATTACACTTCTGTTGTGCTTGAATTTCTTACGTAAACTAAAGATCCAGACTGGCAACAGGGACATACAGCTAACCAAATTTTAGAGTGAATCTTAGTCATTCAATCGGCATGTTCGGGGGTGTGGGGAGAACGTAATGGATGGTGTCAAATCATCATGATAAAAAGGAGTCCGGGGGGCACAGTGGTTAGAATGCAGTATTGCTGGCTAACTCTGCATTCCTACAGTCAGGAGTTCAATCCTGACTGGCTCAAGGTTGACTCAGCCTGCCATCTTTCCAAGGTTGGTAAAATGAGGACAATAGGCAATGGGCAATAGGCTGACTCTGTAAACTGCTCACAGAGGGCTGAAAAGCACGATGGAGTGGTATATAAATCTAAGTGCTATTGCTATTGCCCTTCCTTCCTTCCTTCCTTCCTTCCTTCCTTCCTTCCTTCCTTCCTTCCTTCCTTCCTTCCTTCCTTCCTTCCCTCCCTCCCTCCCTCCCTCCCTCCCTCCCTCCTTCTCTTATTCCTTTCTCATTATCCTTCCTGGTGGCACAGTGGTGAGAATGCTGTATTGCAGGCTAACTCTGCCCATAGTCTGGAGTTCGATCCTGACCGGCTCATCCTTCCTTCCTCTCTTATTCCCTTTCTCATTCTTCTTCCGGGTGGCGCAGTGGTTAGAATGATGCACTGCAGGCTGATTCTGCCTACCGCCAGGAGTTCGATTCTGTCCCGCTCAAGGTGGGCTCAGCCTTCCCTCCTTCCGAGGTCGGTCAAATGAGGACCCAGATTGTTGGGGGGGCAAGAGGCTGACTCTGTACACTGCTTAGAGAGGGGCTGTAAAAGAACTGTGAAGCGGGATATAAGTCTTAAATGCTGTTGCTATCAGAAGCCAGGTGAAAATATCTGCTCTCTCCAAAGTGACTGTGTCTCTTACTCCACTTTACAGGTTGAGGAAGGCATGCATCTCCTCATTGCCGGCCCCAATGGTTGTGGGAAGAGCTCCCTGTTTAGGATTTTGAGTGGTTTGTGGCCCGTCTATGAAGGGGTTCTGTACAAACCACCTCCTCAGCACATGTTCTACATACCACAAAGGTTTGGAAGTTTTGTTTCTTACAAATCTGGTTCACAAGAAAGGGTCTACGGGCTAAACCATACGATGAACAATTGAGGGAACTCGGTATGTCTAGGCTAGCAAAGAGAAAGAATGATCTGATAGACATCCAGTATTTACAGTAGTGGCCAAAATTATGGAAACCATTTGGGAAAAGTGTATTTTCTAAAACTAGCTAATAACGCGACTTTTTTTTTTTGGAGTAGTACCATAAAATTATATATCAGTGGAAAGATAATTTAATCAAGAATGTGATGCAAAAACTTTTATGAAGGATTTGCTATTAGAATAGCAGTTACAGTATTTCATTTCATTTCATTTTCATTTATTGGATTTGTATACCGCCCTACTCCCGAAGGACTCAGGGCGGTGAACAGCCACAGAATAAAACACATAAATACAAAATTTACAAACAGAATAAAACTGAATTAAACAGTTTGGCCGAGACAAATTTAAAACACCCAATAATTTTAAAAACGAATTAAATTTTACATTTTAAAGGGGAAAGATTTAGGCCAAGCCGGCTTGATGGAATAAAAAAGTCTTGAGAGCGCGACGGAAGGTGCGCTGATCCGGGATCCTCCATATCTCCGGGGGGAGCTCATTCCAGATAGTATAAAGAATAAAAGTGAAACACATAGGAAAAATGAGATATACAAAAATGATCCCCATGTCAGTTAATGCTTAGTTGGGCAATCTTTAGCATGAATTACGGCCTTACAACGTCTTCCCATGGAGTGAACCAAGTCTTTGAGTTCTGTTATAATGTGAAACCAAGATTGAATGATGGTTTCTATTAACTGGGTTTTATTGCTGGGTCGTTTCTGACTGCCAAGTTTCTTTAGTTGGCTCCATAGATTTTTCAATTGGGTTAAGAAATTCTGGGCTATTCCCAGGCCATTCCAGCAGTGGAATAGGATTATCTTGAAACTCCAAGAAAAGTGGTGTTATTAGCCATCAAACCTCAAAAATACACTTTTCTCAAAAGGTTTCGACAATTTTGGCCACTACTCTTAAGGGGAAGAGAAGAGAGGGTTGACCTATTCTCCAAACCACTGGAAGGCAGGACAAGAAGCAATGGGTGGAATATCATTAAAGAGAGATTCAGCCAAGAATTAAGGGGAAATTCCTGGTTGTGGGAGCAATTAATCAGTGGAATGGCTTCAGAAGTGGTGGGTACTCTGCCATTAAAAATGAAAGAGAAAGAAGATACAAAATGCTACCAAACATGGAATCTATTTGATCAGCGGTTGGAAAAAAGGAGTGGTGGAGATGAAGAACGTAATATGTATTGTTAAGCAAATTAAATACCCAGAAAACACGATGTGTATTAAGCACTAAGAAATGTAATTAATAAAAAAATAATTTAAAAAAAAGAAGAAGTAGTGGATACTTCATCACTCTGTTATTCTGACTATCAGTAATTTCTGACTGACTACTGGAGGTATTTAAGTAGAGATTGGACAGCCATTTGTGTGGAATGGTATAAGGCAGTGATGGCGAACCTATGGCACACGTGCCACAGGTGCCACGCTTAGCCATATCAGTAGGCACGCGAGCTCAGCTCTGGTGCGCATGCGCGCGCCAGCCAGCTAATTTTCAGGGCTTCTGGGGCTGTTTCCTGCCTCCGGAGGGCCTTGGGGGGGGGGGGAAGGCCTGTTTTTTGCTGTCCCCAGTCTCCAGAGCCTCTCTAGGAGTCTGGGGAGGGCGAAAACGGCCTTCCCCACCGGATGTTGGCAAACGGGCCGTTTTTGGCTTCAGGAGGGCCCCTGGGGGGGTGGGGAAGACTGTTTTTGCCCTCTCCAGACTCCTAGAGAGGCTCTATGGATGCTTCCTTCCATCCATCCATCCATCCATCCACCACCCACCATCCATCCATCCATCCACCATTCATCCGTCCATCCACTACCCACCGTCCATCCATCCGTTCATCCATCCATCCATCCATCCACTCACTACCCCAATCCATCCATCCACCACCTCAATCTATCCATCCATCCACCACCACCCACCCACCATCCATCCACCCATCCCTCCATCCCTCCACCACCCATCCACCCACCTATCCATCCATCCATCCACCATCCATCCATCCATCCATCCACCATCCATCCATCCATCCATCCATCACCCATCCACCCATCCATCCATCCATCCACCACCCACCATCCATCCATCCATCCATCCATCCATCCATCCATCCATCCATCCATCCACCACCCCAATCCATCCATCCACCTATTCATCCATCCATCCATCCATCCATCCACCTACCCACCATCCATCCACCCATCCATCCATCCACTCACCCATCCATCCATCCATCCACCCACCGTCCATCCTCCACCACCCACTTATCCATCCACCCATCCACCCATCCATCCATCCATCCACCCACCCACCCATCCATCCATCCATCCACCCACCCACCCACCCATCCATCCATCCATCCAAAGAATAGCAGAATAACAGAGTTGGAAGAGACCTTGGAGACTCTGGCCAGTTCCACGTGATATTGGTGAGGTGATGGAGGTATCCTACGACACCAGAGGCCCTAGGCTAGACTTCTCCACCCCACCCCTCCCACCAACACCACCTGGAACTGGCCACAGAGCCTCCCCAGAGTGAATATTTCTGCACTTTTCGGAACAATTGTTGGTCATTTTTTTTTCTTCCCGTGTCAGCAGGATGACTTCTAATTATAACCTCCTGCTTATGCAAAAAAAAAAAAAAACAACAACCCACTAAACTCTGCACTGGGTAAGCTGTGCTAATGGGTGCAAGCTAATTAAACTTAGTTATAGTAACGGAGCTCTTTGAAATATTTAAGAGACCCTGCTGGGTGCTGGACAGAGAGGCTCACTGACCGTTATTTGAAGCCCATTTCAATTATTTATACCTTAAAAGAATTGTGGAAAATATAGCTTGGCCTGGAATACTCTTGAGCTAATTTCAGCGGAGAAAATAGCATATCACTTAAAAATAAAGAACCATTAGTAGTGGCTGTGTGTGCGTAAAATACGATTTATGGGTTTGAGGATTAAAAATATATATGGACTAAGTGAAGGTTTGAAGGGATTTATATAAATAAATATAAATAGTTATACGATATTTATATAAATATGAATATAATATAAATATTTATATAAAAATATTTATATAAATATAAAGGGGCGTGGTGGCTCAGTGGCTAAGACGCTGACCTTGTCGATCGAAAGGTCGGCAGTTCAGCGGTTCGAATCCCTAGTGTCGCGTAACGGGGTGAACTCCCGTTTCTTCTCCCAGCTTCTGCAAACCTAGCAGTTCGAAAGCAGGTAAAAATGCAAGTAGAAAAATAGGGACCACCTTTGGTGGGAAGGGAACAGCATTCCGTGCGCCTTTGGCGTTGAGTCATGCCGGCTACATGACCACGGAGACGTCTTCGGACAGCGCTGGCTCTTCGGCTTTGAAACAGAGATGAGCACCGCCCCCTAGAGTCAGGAACGACTAGCACATATGTGCGAGGGGAACCTTTACCTTTACCTTTATATAAATCTACGAGAGACGGAGGATATTGTAACTATTGTAGAGAAAACAGGAAAACATATTTCATCATTTTCCTTTCTCTGGCTTACTTATTTTCCTTCTTTATTTCAATCTTTTTCTTTAGAGTTGACTCTCACTGCGTGTAAAATTCTAAATAGAAATAAATAATAATAATAATGAAAAATGAAGGTGGGGACTTAAATGAAACTTGGACAGTAGATAGTACCAAAGATATATTCCACCTCTATGGAACACAGGTAGCCCTCAACTTCCGACCACAACGGAGCCCGAAATTTAGGTTGCCAAGCGAGACAGCTGTTAAGTGAATTTTGTCCCATTTTTGTGACCTTTCTTGCCTCAGTTGTTAAGCGAAACACTGCAGTTGTTGAATGAGTAACCCGGTTGTTAAGTGAATCTGGCTTCCTCCAGCTCGTCAGAAGGTCACAAAAGATAATCACATGACCCCAGGACGCTCCGAACCGTCATAAATATGAGACAGTTGCCTAGCGTCCGAATTGTTGATCATGTGACCCTGACGATGCTGCAACGGTCGTAAGTATGAAAAACAGTCATAAGTCACTTTTTTCCAGTGCTGTCGTAACTTCGAATGGCCACTAAATGAACTGCTGTAAGTCAAGGAGTAACCTGTGATGGTTATAAATCCCGTTGATGCATATAAATTAGTAATGCCCATTTTATCAGCTGTTCATATTTGCTTTTATTAGAATCTAGGTCAAGATTGAGGCTTTAATCCTCCCTGCAAGAACATTAACAGTGAATTCCAGTAATTTTATGCCGGACGGCTTTTGCACATTAATGTGACATGCTTAGAATCACCAAGGAGATTCGCTATTTAATAATTCCAGGTTTGCTTTTTTTTAAATGCGCTAAACCAGATGTGGGCTTCATATACTGTTACCACCTGTTCGCCCAGCACTGGAAATGTGAGCGTGCCCGCATACACGCTTTGCTCGCTTGCGTGTGGCGTCACAAAACACGGCAATTCGCTCGCGTGCGCCATCCACATATGCGTGCGGCGCATTGGTGGGTTTCAAATATTTTTACTACCGGTTCTGTGGGTGTGGCTTGGGCGTGGCATGGCTTGGTGGGTGTGGCTTAGTGGGCGTGGCAGGGAAAGGATACTGTAAAATCTCCATTCCCTCCCCACTCCAGGGGAAGGTGACTGCAAAATCCCCATTTCCTCCTGATCAGCTGGGACTTGGGGGGCAGAGAATAGATGGGGGCAGGGTCAATCAGAATTTTTACTACCGGTTCTCCGAACTACTCAAAATTTCCGCTACGGGTTCTCCAGAACTGGTCGGAACCTGCTGAAATCCACCTCTGATGCGACGTCAAAAACACAGCAATATAGGATGAGATTGCGCCCAGGCGGGTGGGCGGATCCAGGCGGGTGGGCGGGGGAGGGGCCCGCCTGCAGGTCGCTACTACCAATTTGCCTGAACCGGTCCGAACCAGCTGAATATCCTAGTCTCTGCCCTAGACAAATCAAGAGTTATATAGAAATGACTTATTCAAATTCTTCATCAAATTTGTAACAGAGTAGACATGGATGTGTTTGTGTGGTCCTTAGTGTTCTTTGAGGTTGTTTTCTTGCAGACATTTCTTGACCTTACTAGGTAACATCATCAGTACTAGTAGGGAGTGGGGTTTGCTCTCATTTTATATACAAGTGGCTTTCTCTGTCAGTATTGGTGGGAGAACCTTTGGTGATTCCTTTATTAGGCTATTGTTTATTGTTAGTGATGGGACCTTAGCTTCCTGAGTCATTAAAACACACAAGTAGTCCCAAAAACTTCTTTTATTGCAACAGCTGTGAATTATGTTCATTCACAGCTGAGTCCCAATTACTTGCAAAAAGTCCTTCAGGATAATCACCCACCTTTATCTCCCTTGACACGCTGCCAAAGACCTACTTGGCAAAGCCACACGGAGTCCAGAATCAAACAGAGATGCCGACTGGGAACAGAATTAACAATGTTGCTTTCCTGTAAAGTGCCCACGTGCCTTTGCTCCTCTTTTAAGCCTTATGGGAGGGGCCAATCATCTCCAGGCCTTACTCCCGAGTCGTCCCTTTTGTTTTAACAGTTCTTGCCTTCTGGCATGCGTGCATTGGGAACAGGCTCCCCCTGTTCCTCTGCCTCACTGAGGTCTGACTCTGGAGGCTCCGGAGGCAGCACGTACCTCCCAGATGGCCCTTTCTCTGCCTCCGACGCAGAGCCCTTGTCCGAGCCTTCCCCAGACTCCAGGACTGGCCCATGGTCCTCCCCAGCCTCCTCACTGTCCAACTCCACTGCCAGCTCCACAGGCTGCTGGTGGACCACAACAGTTAGCTTGTTTGTTTGAGTTGGTAGTTCCTTGATTGGGGTATTGTTTACTGTTCGATTGTGGGTCTAGTGTTAATCTTGTTGTTCATCCCTGCTCATCTGGATGTTGATTGCTGGCGAGGAGGTACAGGTAATCCTCGTCTTACAACAGTTCATTTAATGACCATTCAAAGTTAAAACAGTACTGAAAAAAAGCGACTTATGACTCTTTTTCACACTTATGACGGTTGCAGCATCCTCATGGTCACATGATCAAAATTTGGACACTCGGCAACTGACTCATATTATGATGGTCACAGTGACCCGGAGTCATGCAATCCCGTTTTGCCGCCTTCTGATGAACAAAGTCAATGGGGAATTAGGACTCACTTAACAGCCGTGTGACTGACTTAACAACAGCAGTGATTACACTTCACAACTGCGCCAAGAAAGGTCATAAAATGGGACGAAATCCACTTAGCCACGATCTCGTTTAGCAACACAAATCTTGGGCTCCGTTGTGGTGGTAAGTCGAGGACTACCTGTGTTCTCTTCTGCGGGGGATAATTTTTCTACGTTTTTCAAGGAGACCGTTCTCAACAATTTAACAAAGAGAGTTACTGCAAGGGTGCAATGGAAGCCCTGTCTGTTTTTTCATGCTCGCAATAAAAAAATGGAGTAAAATTTTAATGGCAGATTGAACATTTTTATTCCACCCACCCTTTCCCTCCCACAGATATTCCCCTGATTGTCAGAATGGAATCAGGAATGTAAAACTTGTCAGGATTACTATTGGCTAGGGCTAGACGAATGAGAGGCAACCTTTGAGAATTTTTGCTGTCTACCATATTTTTCAGAGTATAAGACACACTCCCCCCCTTAAAATTTGGGTGCGTCTTATACACCGAATGTAGTCAAAAACATGAGGCGGCGATGGTCTGTGGCAATCCCTGCAGTCTGGAACAGCTGATTGGGGGTATTTCACCCGCCAATCAGCTGCTGGTGCTGAATCCGGCTGCAATAATGTGCTGAAGCTGACCTGGCTGTTTGCTATTTGCTGCAAGGACGTGTCAGAGTTTGCAGTAGCAGTCACATCCAGAAAGCACACACAAGTAACTGATTCAGCAGGATTCAATAATTTCTCTTTATATATAATATACACATGAAGTAAATATCTAGTACCAAAAGCAGGTTTTCCAACTTGATAGCAAATACAAGGAAAACACAAGCAGAGGAGAGGAGTTTCAGTTTTAGTTTTGAGCAGCAGACTAGTTTAGAGCTCAGCACAGAGTCAGAGCTGCAGAGCTAAGCCACACCCAGGCTCCTTGCTGTCTCCTTCCTTGTTGCTCACACAGCAAATATTGTTTCAGTTTCCAAACAGTCTCACACACTGATAGGATGCTAGCCAGATGAATACCGATGGATGCTGGTAGGCAGAGGCAGAATTTTTTTTTTCTTATTTCCATCCCCCAAAACTAAGGTGCGTCTTATACTCTGGAGCGTCTTATACTCCGAAAAATATGGTAATTAGATTTATTGACCAGTTTAACTTATTGCTAGTAAAGCAAACCAACCAAACAACAAAACATATCTAAAACATATTCCCATCTCTACATTCAGAATATAATTCCTGGCAAAAGGTATCCAAATGATCAGATTTGGGAATAACTAGGAATATTTATTAAAAATAAGAGGCAGTATGAATTTGAAGAAAGAACCACTTTCAAGCAGTCCATGAAAATTCACCCGTTTCTATCCGCTTGGAATGGAAGACAAAAATATATTTGTCTTTATTTATTTTTTTAGACTCATTTGCTGCCCATCTTGCATAGATATAGTTCCAACTCGATACGATGTTCTGTTTTGTGTGAATTTTCACTCAAAGGCGCGAGATCAATTCTTTAGTCTTCAGCCAGAGTTATCCCCGCTAATAAACTCTAATTATTTCTTCTGTAAACAGTGCATTGTTTTTTTCCAGCACGTTTAGGAAAACAACCGTCCTCAAATAATTACAGCATTTAGAAACGTGGTATTTAAAGCATTATATATTCTGCTCGGAGAACAGCAGCCTGAAATAGCAGGGTTGAGATGGGACTTTCACACAAGGCAAGGGGGCAAATCCAATTATCTTTTTTTTAAAAAAATTTCTTTTCAGGCCTTACATGTCCCTGGGGACGCTACGGGATCAAGTCATCTATCCCGATTCACTGGATGACATGCATGAAAAAGGATACCAAGACCAGGATCTGGAATTTATCCTGCAGATAGTTCATCTGAATCATATTATTCAGAGAGAGGGAGGTAGGCATTGTTTTTCTGGAAAATACGGCATGTCGTTAGAAAGTGGGAATTGCAAATGCCAACCAAACCAGGAAGGTGAGCTCACTTTCTGTCGGGGTTCCAAGCAGGGATGGGCTTCAAAAACTTTAACAAGGGGTTCTCTGCCTTGGGTGGGCGTGGCTATGGTGGGCGTGATCTACTTGGCCTCCTGCACCACGGCAGGAGGGCGTTTTTGCCCTCCCCGGGCTCCAGAGGTTTTTCTTGAGCCTCCGGGAGGGCAAAAACAGCCTGCCTAGGCTCTGGAGGCCATTTTTTTGCCCTCCCTGAGCCCCTACGTGCACCCTGCACTTACCTGCATCCAAAACCGGCCGTGTGGGGACTTCTGAGAGGGGCGGCGTGGGGTGGGTGGGGCCAGCCAGGAGTGGGATTTGGGGGTTCTCCGAACTGCACAGAATCTTAGCTAGAGGTTCTCCCGAACCCCGGCGAACACCCAACAGCCTACCCATGATTCTAAGTAACACCCCGCAACAAAAAAAGACTCCGAGGCTTGAAGTTCCTCAAAGTTGCATTTTATTAGAGATGTCATATTGGCACATCTGGGAAAACCCGAATCTGAAAGTTTCCAGGTTTTCCCCACCCAAAGGAAAGTCCAAGTTCCTACCCAAGCATCCACAAGTTCATCACATGGTCCAATCCAAGCACCGCCCCAACTGGAGAGGCCTCTCAGCCACACCTCCCCAGGTGCAGGGCAAGATGTCCTTGACTCTTTGAGAAAGGAATGTTATTAGATGGATAGAAGATGGATGGATGGATAGATAGATAGATATAGAGAAAGACAGAAAGAGACAGAGACAGATAGGTAAGTAGATAGATATAGGTAGATGCTAGATACAGATAGATTCTAGATAGAAATAGGTCCACAAAGATGATAGATGATAGATAGATAGATAGATAGATAGATAGATAGATAGATAGATAGATAGATAGAAAGACAGAAAGAGAAACACAGACAGACAGATATTAGGTAAGAAGATGGATAGATAGGTAGGTAGGTGGATGGATGGATAGATATAGAGAAAGACAGAATGAGACAGAGACAGATAGATAGGTAAGTAGATAGATATAGATAGATGCTAGATATAGATAGATTCTAGATAGAAATAGGTCGACAAAGATGATAGATAGATAGATAGATAGATAGATAGATAGATAGATAGATAGATAGATAGATAGATAGATAGATGATAGATGATTGAAAGAAAAATAGATGATAGATAGATAGATGATTGATTGATAGATAGATGATAGATAGAAGATAAATAGATGATAGATGATAAATGATTGAAAGAAAAATAGATGATAGATAGAAGATAGATGATAGATGATTGAAAGAAAAATAGATGATAGATAGATGATAGATAGATAGATAGATAGATAGATAGATAGATAGATAGATGATAGATAGATAGATGAGAGAGAGAGAGAGAGGGAAAGATGATAGATAGATGATAGATGATTGAAATAAAATAGATGATAGATTAGATAGATAGATAGATAGATAGATAGATAGACAGATAGATAGATAGATAGATAGATAGAAGATAGAGATGAGAGAGAGAGAGAGAGAGAGAGGGAAAGATGATAGATAGATGATAGATGATTGAAATAAAATAGATGATAGATTAGATAGATAGATAGATAGATAGATAGATAGATAGATAGATAGATAGATAGATAGATAGAGAGAGATAGATGAGAGAGAGAGAGAGAGAGAGAGGGAAAGATGATAGATAGATGATAGATGATTGAAATAAAATAGATGATAGATTAGATAGATAGATAGATAGATAGATAGATAGATAGATAGATAGATAGATAGATAGATAGATAGATAGATAGAAGATAGACAGATAGTAGGTAAGATGGATAGGTAGGTAGGTGGGTGGATGGATGGATGGATAGATATAGAGAAAGACAGAAAGAGACAGAGACAGATAGGTAGGTAAGTAGATATAGATAGAAATAGGTCAACAAAGATGATAGATAGATAGATAGATAGATAGATAGATAGATAGATAGATAGATAGATAGATAGATAGATAGATAGATAATAATTAAAGTTAGATAGATTGTAGTTGTAAGTCAAGGACTATCCATATTTTACTCTCGCAAGAAAGATCTCTCTATAGCCTGAGCCACTTTTATGGTTTTCATGGAAATCTTTCTTTCAGTTAATAAAACGGTTGTCTTACAAAGAATGACTTGAGTTTTCAAAATAAACACCGAAGCTTTGTATCTTTTATGCGACTCCCTGAAGGGTGGAACTCTGTGATCGATTGGAAAGACGTCCTGTCTGGAGGAGAGAAGCAGAGAATGGGGATGGCTCGGATCTTTTATCACCGGTAAGTCTAATCCTTTGCTTTTGGTGCAGATAGAATAGTCAGGAGTTAGTTTAACGCCACTGATAGGCAGGAAGGAAGGAAGGAAGGAAGGAAGGAAGGAAGGAAGGAAGGAAGGGGAGGGGAGAGAGAGGGAGTAACGAAGGAGTAGCAATAGCACTTAGACTTATATACCGCTTCACAGTGCTTTACAGTCCTCTCTAAGCGGTTTACAGAGTCAGCCAATTGCCTCCAACAATCCGGGTCCTCATTTTACCGACCTGGGAAGGACGGAAGGCTTAGTCAACCTTGAGCCAGTCAGGATCGAACTGCAGGCAGTGGGCAGAGTCAGCCTGCAATACCGCATTATCACCACCGCGCCGCCACGGCTCTAAAGCAGCGTTTTTCCCCACCTTGGCAAATTGAAGATGGGTGGACTTCAACTCCCAGAATCCTCCAGTCAGCCATGCTGACTGGGGGGATTCTGGGAGTTGGAAGTCCACCCGTCTTCAAATTGCCAAGGTTTTAAAGACGCCGATCTTAGCGATTTGATTCTGTAGATCCAAGGCAAGCAAAGAATTTACAATAATTGGATCCAACAAAGCACAACAAATGAGATCTATTGAATCGCCTCTTGGTGCTGATTTCATTCAGAAAGACTCTGAAAAAGAAAAAAATGCAGAGGTAGCAACTTGGTGACCTTCGGAAACGGTGGACTGCCTCCAACAAGGTCTGGCGTTACACAATCACAATCTGCAACTTTCCAAGCTGGCTCCGTTACACAAGTTGCACTCTCAGGTTCAGTTTATAGTCAGTCACTGACACACTCACAGGCCTGGACCCGCAACCCACATTCCCACCCGCAACCCCAAATCAACTGAACACGGAGGCACAAACGGTTCTTTAAAATACACAGAGACCCAGTGAATTTAAAACAACAGCAAACTTTACTGATATATTTGTCCTCTTACACACGCACACACATTCTCATCCACACTTACACATCGTCCACTACTAGGCTGCCAGGCGCTAGCCAGGGGGATGGAAACTGGGATGGGATGGATCCATTTTTGGATCCATGGGATCGAAAACAAATAAAAACTGGCCAGACTTTAGGACTTCTTTTTATCCCCCTGAGTTGGTGGGAAGGGCTTCCCATTCAGGCTCAACTCCTTTGTTGGTGAGGCTTAGGGAGAGGCTTCCCATGTGCTCATGCCCAAATTTTGTCCTTTTGTTCACTTAAGGACTTGGTTTCCTTTCCCCAAGGGAGCTTTTCTTGGGTTTTGTGCGCCCTTTTTATGCCTTCACCACTTTTAGGTATGGTGGCTTTGGCCTAGTCTCACAGCTTCCTTTGGGGTCTATGAAGGGGAATGGGACAACTCACCAAGGCCAACCCACCATGGCCAACTCATCATAGCCAACTCACCAAGGCCAATTCACCAAGGCCAACTCACCAAGGCCAACCCACCAAGGTCAACTCACCAAGGCCAACTCACCAAGGCCAACCCACCATGGCCAACTTACCAAGGCCAACTCACCAAGGCCAACTCACCAAGGCCAACTCACCAAGGCCAACCCACCATGGCCAACTCACCAAGGACAACTCACCAAGGCCAATTCATCATGGCTAACACACCAAGGCCAACTCACCAAGGCCAACCCACCCAGGCCAATTCACCAAGGCCAACTCACCAAGGCCAATCCACCATGGCCAACTTACCAAGGCCAACTCACCAAGGCCAATTCATCATGGCTAAACACCAAGGCCAACTCACGAAGGCCAACCCACCCAGGCCAACCCACCAAGGCCAACTCATCAAGGCCAACCCACCTAGGCCAATTCACCAAGGCCAACTCACCAAGGCCAACCCACCAAGGTCAACTCACCAAGGCCAACTCACCAAGGCCAACTCACCATGGCCAACTCCCCAAGGCTAACTCCCCAAGGCCAATTCACTATGGATAACTCACCAAGGCCAGTTCACCATGGCTAACTCACTATGGCCAAGTTACCACGACCAGCTCATTGCAGCCAATTCATCACGGCCAACTCACCAAGGGACCACTCACTGCGGGTCAATTTAACAATTCTATTTGACGATTTAAAACAAATAAAAACTATTTTAATTTTCGCCATTTCACATTTCCTTCCGTCCTTCCTTTTACATAATTTCTTTAATGATTCTCTTCCGCCATTTCTTTGATATTAGTGTAACTCTTGTCCTGAAGCAAGTTGTCCTGCAAGTGAGTTAGCCGTGGTGAGTTAGCCACGGCGAATTGTCTTAGACCCCTATGAAGAGCACTCAGTCAGCTGAAAAGACAACATTTCCACCCTATCTTCCTCTAGAGATCTGCCAGGAGGAAAAAGCAGGAGTTTTTAATGAGAAATACATGGGTTGGATGGAAACTAGTGGTGCTGATGAATAGCACATTTATAAATTCAGTGGCATTTCTTTGAGAAGAGGTGAAACAGGACACTCCTAGACGCTTACTCTGGCAATCCAGTTGCTTCCATCCTGGCGTCAGGAGAAATGTGAGAAAAATGCAAGTAGTCCTCGACTTATGACCACCATTGAGCCCAGAGTTTCTGTTCTTAAGGGAGAAGTTCATTCGGTGAGTTTTGCTCCATTTTATGACTTTTCTTGCCACAGTTGCGAAGCGAATCCCTTCAGTTGATTGATGAGTTAGTAAACATGGTTGTTAAGTGAATCCGGCTTCCCCCATTGACTTCGCAAAAGGGGATCACTTTTGGGGCACACAGCAATGGTCGTAAGTGTGAGTCAGATGCCAAGAGTCTGAATTTTAATGGGGATGCTGCAAGAATTGTAAGTGTGAAAGACAATCACAAGTCGCTTCTTCCATGGCCGTTGTAACTGGTCACTAAACAAATGATTGTAAGTCAAGGACTTGCCTGTACAGTATTCAGGGGAACAGCAAAAAAATAAAAAAAGGTATAATCATGTTTCTCTTTTTTGCAAGGCCGAAATACGCACTGCTCGACGAATGTACGAGTGCCGTCAGCATTGACGTGGAAGGAAAAATATTCCAGGCTGCTAAAAGTGCCGGCATCTCCCTGCTTTCCATAACTCACAGGCTATCTCTCTGGTGAGTCTGAGTTTAAAGGGGAATACACGCTCTCCTCTTCCTCGTACTTCAGTGGGGCATCAAATAATGGGGTTAATTAAGCCTCTGCTGTTTAAATCTATATATATATAAAAGCGAAATACCACTCGCGCATCATCACGAAATCTCCAGAACCGTAAAGCCTACAAACTTGAAATTTGCCATGTATGTTCCTCTTGGCTTCTAGGTGCTTGCTAAGAAAGGATTTTTTGAAATGACCATCAGATCATTAGTATTTCTTATATTATTATTAACACGCTTTGATGCTAAGGAGTTAGACGTTCTACTCCCTCTTCCCCACCTGAAAAGAACTCTGTTCCAACTGTCACTTGGGCGTGGGCGTGGCCAGTGCATGATTCATCCGGCCTGTGGGCTGGGAGTTTAGACATTCTACTCCCCACTTGAAAGGGAGAGAAGGGGATAAGATAGGAGAGGCTTCTATGGGGCAAGCCTGAGGGACAGAATGGGATAGGAAAGGATCAATGTGGCCAGCCTGAGGGAGAGAAGGGATAAGATAGGAGAGGCTTCTGTGGGGCAAGTCTGAAGGAGAGAAGGGGAGAGGAGAGGCCGATGGTAACTACTCATTAATTTTCAAGCTGTGTCAATTTATCAAGCCCGATCACATAGTTGCATAGTGGAGCACGGGTATCCAGCTAGTAAGTAATAAATACAGAGTTTTTCACAACGTGTAATTTGCAAAGGTCTCAAGAGATCCAGCTTCAATCAACGTAACTACTTGCCTCCAGAAGTTGTAAGTGCTCCATCACCGGAGGTTTTTCTGAAGGGATTGGACAGCCATTTCTCCGGAATGGTACAGGGCACGGGTGTCAAACTTGATTTAATTGAGGGACACATCAGGATTGTGTTTGCCCTGGAGGGGGGGGGCTGGGGGCCAGGATAGGGTGGGCGTGGCCCTCTACCAGTGATAACAGCCCTCCCAGGCTCCATTTTCAGCCAGGATGGCCTCCTGCAACGTTTTGCCAGAGAAAATGGAGCTTGCGTGGCCCCCGAGCTCCATTTTCACTGGCAGAGGGCTGCAGGAGGCCATCCTGGCTGAAAACGGAGCCTGGGAGGGCCGTTTACAGTCCCCCCGAGCTCCGTTTTCGGTGGCAGAGGCACCATGGGCTGGTGCCTCACTGTTTTCAAGGTGGCCCCGCAGGCCAGATCTAAGGTTGGATCCGGGCCTTGAGTTTGACACCCCTGGTATATGATCTCCTGGGGCTGTTGGACTAGAAGACCTCCAAAATCCCTCCCAGCTCTGGTATTCTGTTAGTCTTTTGCCAAACCACCTGAAGACAAAGCAAGAAGTAATGGATGGAAAGTAATCGAAGGAGAGAACCGAGAACTAAGGAGAAATTTCCCAACAGTAAGAACAATAAACCAGCGGAATCGCTTGCTTCCAGATTTAAACAAAAAGATTCCACAAAAATCTTGAGGGTTTTTAAGAGGCTGGACAGCCATTTGTCTGAAATGATATAGGGTTGGACCAGAAGAGCCTCAAGGTCCCTTCCAGAAGTGAAATCCAGCAGGTTCTGACAGGTTCTGGCGAACCGGTAGCAGAAATTTTGAGCAGTTCGGAGAACTGGAAAATACCACCTCTGGCTGGCCCCAGAGTGGGGTGGGAATGGGGATTTTGCAATATCCTTTCCCCAGGAGTGGGGAGGGAATGGGGATTTTGCAGTATCCTTCCCCTGCTACACCCACCAAGCCACGCCCACCATGCCACACCCACAGAACCAGTAGTAAAAAAATTTGGATTTCACCACTGGTCCCTTCCAACTCTGTTATTCTGTATCTCCTCCCTCAGGGCACTTGGAGGGAGAGAGTAGAAAACTGATTTTAAAGAACTGTATAACCCAATTCATCATCACCATCATCATCATTTAACGACCCCATAATCCCTTGCGGAGTGGAGTCTGGGCAACTGAACGGAGCTAGCAGATTGTTTTAATGGCCGGATGCTCTTCCTGTTGCCAATGCAGAGTTATATTCAGCAGATATATTCTCATCGTGCCCAGAGAGAGAAATATCTGCCTGTACCTAGGATCGAACTTATAGCCTCCTGATTGTGAGGCGAGAGCTCCATCTCTAGGCCACCGCACCACTCTGCAACTGTATGACCCAATTGTTGAGAATAAATTAACGCACTTATTCCAGATCCCGTTGCTCGATTTTATAGCGAGGATTTTTCTCTCTCTCTCCTTATTCTTGCAGGAAGTACCACACGCACCTGCTCCAGTTTGACGGGGAAGGCGGTTGGCGCTTCGAAGAGTTGGACACTGCTATCCGCTTAACTCTGAGCGAGGAAAAGCAGAGACTCGAATCGCAGCTGGCAGGGATGCCAAAAATGCAGCAAAGACTAAATGAACTTTGCAAAACGCTCGGGGAAGATTCCGTGTTTAAAACGGTGGATAAAGGAGAATAAAACCCTTTAGGTTTCCTCTCTCCCGCCCCACAATTTTTTAAAGAAGAAATATATATATATAAATATAAATATAAATATAAATTTAAATATAAATATAAATATAAATATACACATGCACTTTGGATTCTAAGATGCTATGGTTTACATAGACGATTAATTTAGATTTGCAAGGTTGATTGCCCCGGTTTGAACCAGTGGTGGTATTCAGCCTGTTCGCACCAGTTGAGGCAAACTAGTAGTAATAAAAGCTACCGGTTCACGCGAACCGGTAGTAAAAAAAATGCTACCAGTTCATCCGAACTGGTATCTCCGACGATTAGCTGTGCCGCGTGATTATATTAAATCCTGCTTTCTAGCAAATCTAAATCGCGCAGCACAGCTGTTCCCCCCTTACCTTGTCACTTACCTTCTTAAGCCTCCTTTTTCTGTGCTGCGCGGTAGCGCCTGTGGTGCGCATGTGCGCGCAGTGTGCATTCACACAGTGAACAATTGGCAAACCTTGGAGGATTTCACCACTGGTTTGAACGGCCTTCGGATGGGTTGGGCTTCACCCCTCATAATCCGGTGCTATTCGGGGGGATTTGGGGATTGAAATCCAACAGAATTGGCCAGAAATTCTGAATTATATGCTTCAGAAAATTTGTTGCATTGGGAAAGAAAAATACTGTTCATAATTAATCATAGTGAGGTTTGTTTTGCTCCGTGTGAAAACGGGGGGGTCTTGAAGAAGCGTGAAATGTCTCAAACACGTTTTTTCCCGTTTTTCTTTGAAGACGTTCCTTTGAACCTTTGAGGAAAAACATAAAAACTCCAGTTGCCTTTTGTAACCAAAAAAAAAATGCATCTTTGAGACAACAATGAAACTGGATGACTGAGAATCTCCTTAGATGGAAAAGCTCAATGAAAAATCTTATGCATTACAGGTAGTCCTCGACTTACAACTGTTCGTTTAGTGACTGAAGTTACGACATCACTGAAATACAATTTTTTAAAAAAAATATACATAGATAATACACTCACACACAAACACACCCACAGAATTCATGGGCAATCTTATTTTAAGACATTTTTAAAAATACAAACATCCCTCAGTTTATGCATTGATGCTAACGCAGGCCTAGAGATTTTCCCCACTAACAATTTTAGTATTTACTAGACGCTAAATTAATTGTTCTCTGCTTCTATAGTTTTTTTTTCTCCAAATATCAGTGGTGGTATTCAGCCTGAAGACCTGCAGGTGGGCCTGTCCAGTGGTGGTATTCAGCTGGTTTAGATCGGTTCGGACAAACCAGTCGTGGGAACCTGCAGGTGGGCCCATCCAGTGGTGGTATTCAGCCAATTCAGACCGGTTCGGGTGAACCAGTCATGGCAACCTACAGGTGGGCCCGTCCAGTGGTGGTATTCAGCTGGTTCTGGCAAACCGGTAGTGACGACCTGTAGATGGGCCCGTACAGTGGTGGTATTCAGCCGGTTCGGACCAGTTCGGGTGAACCGGTAGTGATGACCTGTGGATGGGCCTGTCCAGTGGCGGTATTCAGCCGGTTCGGACCGGTTTGGGTGAACCAGTCGTGGCAACCTGCAGGTGGGCCCGTCCAGTGGTGGTATTCAGCTGGTTCTGGCGAACCGGTAGTGGCGACCTGTGGATGGGCCCGTACAGTGGTGGTATTCAGCCTGTTCGGACCAGTTCGGGTGAACCGGTAGTGATGACCTGTGGATGGGCCTGTCCAGTGGTGGTATTCAGCTGGTTCGGACTGGTTTGGGTGAACCAGTCATGGCAACCTGCAGGTGGGCCCGTCCAGTGGTGGTATTCAGCTGGTTCTGGCGAACCGGTAGTGACGACCTGTAGATGGGCCTGTACAGTGGTGGTATTCAGCCGGTTCGGACCAGTTTGGGCAAACCGGTAGTGACGACCTGTGGATGGGCCCATCCAGTGGTGGTATTCAGCCAGTTCAGACCGGTTTGGATGAACAGGTCGTGGCAACCTGCAGGTGGGCCCATCCAGTGGTGGTATTCAGCCGGTTCGGACCAGTTCGGGTGAACCGGTAGTGACGACCTGTGGATGGGCCCGTCCAGTGGTGGTATTCAGCCAGTTCGGACCAGTTCAGATGAACTGGTCATGGCAACCTGTGTCTAAGACACGCGGGCTCACATTTTCGGTTAGTGGTGAACCGGTGATAAAATTATGTGAAACCCACCTCTGCCAAACATTGGCACAAATTCTAAGTTTGTATGACCCTGTAGCCATTTTCTTAGTTTGTCCAATTTAGAAGGACGTGTTGTGACATTCTTAAGCTGTCATGGTGTATGCAGGTACTCCTTGACTTACAACCATTCATTTAGTGACGGTTCGAAGGATGGTCAACAGCATTGAAAAAGCGACTTACGATCGTTTTTCTCACGTACAACCGTTGCAGCATCCCCTGTGGTCACATGATCGAAACCCAGATGCTTGGCAACTGGCTCATATTTATGACGGTCGCAGTGTCCCGGGATATGTGTGTGTGTCACGCGATAGATCCCCTTTGGCGATCGCTAATCCGGAAGCCGGATTA